ATCTGTTGAACTATTTACTCAACATGGAGATAATAATATGTGGATAAAGTTAATTGAAATAGATCTTAGTTAAAAATAAGAGTGGAAATAATGGAGGAGGAGAGGGGGATAGAAGGGTGGGCACAGTGAGAAGAGTCACCATGTTCCTTAAGCAGTAGTAGTGAAATGTATTAAGTTGTAACTACAAAACTGTACAGTTCTGCATCCATTCCTACAGGCTTACTTCTCAGAGTACAGTTTAAAAACTTGTCATGGGATCCCAAATCCCCTTAAGCTGGGTGTTTAAAAATAGCATTTTAAGGATTAAAGTGAGCATACTGATATAATTAAGTGTTAGGCTGATCATATAAAAAGGATTAAGTGTTCGGTAATAATAATAAATAGACTTAAAAGGAGGGGCTGGCGATTCGGGTTAAAGCTCCAGCATCCCATGTGGGCGCAGGTTTGAGTCCCAGTTGCTCCATTTCTGATCCAGCTCCCTAGTAATGTACCTGGGAAAGCAGTGGAGGATGGCCCAAGTCCTTGGGCCCCTACACCCACATGAGACCCCAGGAAGTAGCTCCTAGTTCCTGGCTTCAGATTGGCCCAGCTCCAGCTGTTTTGGCCAACTGGGGAGTGAACTACTGGATGGAAGACCTCTCTGTGTCTACTCCCATGTGAGAGACCTGGATGACGCTCCAGGCTCCTGGCTTTGACTTGGCACAGCCCAGCCATTGAGATCATTTGGGGTGTGAACCAGCGGTTGGCAGATTGATTGATGTGTGCATGTGCATGTACATACATGTCTCCCTGCTTCCTGGAACTCTGTCTTTCGAATAAATAATTTAAAAAAGAAGATCAGTGAAATGAAGAGGTAGTTTTTTGAAAAACTTATCAAGAAAAAATGTAGAAGACTCAAAAATCAGAGATGAAAAAGGCATATTACAACTGATAACACAGAAATACTAAGAATCAGGAGGAACTATTGTGAGTAACTACAGGCCAACAAACTGGAACATCTGGGAGCAATGGAAAGATTTCTGGACACATATAATTTACCAAACTGAGGCAGGCAGACACAGGAAACCAGATCGATCAGGCCAGTAATAGTCTCTCAACAAAGAAAAGCCCAGAAGAGATTGCTTCCTGCTGAATTTTACCAAACTTTTAAGGAAGACTTAGTCCCAATTCTTCTCAAACTATTCAAGAAAAAGGAAAATTCATTCTATGAGGCCAGCATTACTTTCATTCTAAAAGATAGAAAAAAAAAAAACTCTATAGACCAATATCCTGGATGAACACAGATGCAAAAATCATCAATAAAATCTAGCAAACTGAAACCAACATTACATCAAAAATATTATCCACCCTGGGCAAACGGGATTTATCTCGGAGATGCAGGGATATTTCAACAAACACAAATTGATCAACGTGATACATCACATCAAAGAAAAAAAGGATAAAAACCATATGATGATTTCAATAGATGAAGAGAAAGCATTTGATAAAATACAAAATCCTTTCATTATTTTTTTTTTTATTTTTAGACAGGCAGAGTTAGACAGAGAGACAGAGAGAAAGGTCTTCCTTACGTTGGTTCACCCCACAAATGGCTGCTATGGCCGGTGCGCTGCGCTGATCTGAGGCCAGGAGCCAGGTGCTTCCTTCTGGTCTCCCTCCCATATGGGTGCAGGGCCCAAGCACTTGGGCCATCCTCCACTGTCTTTCTGGGCCACAGCAGAGAGCTGGCCTGGAAGAGGAGCAACCGGGACAGAATCTGGCACCCTGACCGGGACTAGAACCCAGGGTGCCAGTGCCACAGGCGGAGGATTAGCCTATTGAGCCACAGCACTTGCCAAAATATCCTTTCATTAGAAAAAAATTTTTGATTGGATATAGGAGACTATTTCAACACATCATATTGGATGGGAAAAAACTGGAAGCATTTCCATGAAGATCCAAAACCAGACAAGGATGTCCACTCTGACCACTATTTTTCAATATCGTCTGGAAATTTTAGCCAGAGCTATCAGGCCAGAACAAGAATCCAAACAGGATACAGATTGGAAATGCGGAAGTCCGATTCTCCCTGCTGGCAGATGATAGGGTTCTTTATAAAGGGGAACTGAAAGACTCCACTTAGAGACTATCAGAACTCTTCAGAGAATTCATTCAAGTTGCAGGATCTGAAATCACCACACAGAAGTCCATCCCATTCCTACACACCCACCATGATGCGCCCGCGCAGGAACTTGCTGGATTCACAAAAGCCACAAAAACTTCACCTTGGGAAGAATGTAGCCCAGGCTGTGAAAGAACCTGACAACGAAGGTCACAGAACATTAATGAAATAAATGCAGTCACGAAGAAAGGAAAAATTTTTCATGTTCATGGGTTGGAAGAAAATTACCAAAATGTTCATGGTACCCAGAGCAATATACAGATTCAGATTCAATACAGTCCCATCAAAATTCCAAGGACATTCTTCACAGAACTAGAAAAAATTTCAAAAATTCTTATGGAAACACCAAGACTCCAAATAGTCAAAGTATTCTTTTTTTTTTTTTTTTTTTTTTTTAAGGATTTAGTTCTTTGAAAGCTAGAGTCACAAACACACACACACACACACACACACACACACACACACAGTTTCCAACCACTGGGTCACTCACCAAATGGCTGTGATAGGGCTGGGCAAGGCCAAAGCAGGAGCCTGGAACTCAATCCAGGACTTCTGCATGGGTGGCAGGGGCCCAAGCACATTAGCACAGAGCTAGATCAGAAGTGAAGCAGGTGAGACTTGAACCAATGCCCACATGGAATGACAATGTTGCAGGCCGTGGCTTAACCTGCTGTGCTACAATGCTGGCCCCAGAAATCTTAATAAAAACAAAGCAGGCCGGCGCCGCGGCTCAATAGGCTAATCCTCCGCCTAGCGGCGCCGGCACACCGGGTTCTAGTCCCGGTCGGGGCGCCAGATTCTGTCCCGGTTGCCCCTCTTCCAGGCCAGCCCTCTGCTGTGGCCAGGGAGTGCAGTGGAGGATGGCCCAGGTGCTTGGGCCCTGCACCCCATGGGAGACCAGGAAAAGCACCTGGCTCCTGGCTCCTGCCATCGGATCAGCGCGGTGCGCCGGCCGCAGCGCGCCGGCCGCGGCGGCCATTGGAGGGTGAACCAACGGCAAAGGAAGACCTTTCTCTCTGTCTCTCTCTCTCACTATCCACTCTGCCTGTCAAAAAATAAAATAAAAAAAAAAAAAAAAAAAAAAAAAAAAAAAACAAAGCAAGAGGTATCATGATACCAGATTTCAAGACATAATGCAGGGGGCTGGTGCTGCGGCGCAGCAGGTTAAAGCCCCGGCCTGCAGCGCCAGCATCCCATATGGGTGGCGGTTCGAGTCCTGACTGCTCTTCTTCCGATGCAGTTCTCTGCTATGGCCTGGGAAAGCAGCAGAAGATGTCTCAAGTCCTTGGGCCTTTGCACCCACGTGGGAGACTGGGAAGAAGCTCCTGGCTCCTGGCTTCAGATCGGCACAGCTCTGGCTGTGGCAGTCATTTGGGAAGTGAACCAGCAGATGGAAGACCTCTCTCTCGCTCTGGTTCTGCCTCTCTCTGTAACTCTGCCTTTCAGATAAATGAAATAAATCTTTAAAAAAAAGACATAATGCAGGGCTATTATAATCAAAACAGCATGCTACCATATAAAAATAGATTGTCCAATGGAACAAAATGGAAACAAAATGGAAATCCCAAAAACCAATCCATGCACCTACAACCAACCAATCTTTGATGAACGAGCTAGAATCCTGGAGAAAAGACAGTCCCTTCAACAAATGTTGGGAAAACTGGATTTCTAAATGCACAAGTCTGAAAATTGACCCATACGATACACCATATCCAAAAACCAACTCCAAGAATCAAAGTTTAAGACCTAAGTTATCAAACTACTAGAGGAAAACACAGGGGAAATGCTGCAAGACATTGGCCTAGGCATACTTTCTGGGTAAGACCCCAGAACTACTTGCAGTAAAAGCAAAAGTTGACAAAATGAGATTACATCAAGCTAAGAATCTTCTGCATAGCAAAGGAAGAATTAGCAAAGTGAAGAGACAACCAAAAGAATAGGAGACAATTTTTCCAAAATGCATTTGATAAAGGATTAACACGCAGAATATATAGGGACCTCAAGAAATTCAACAAGACAATTCAGTTAAGAAATGGGCAAACAAAAGGGACATTTTGAAAGGAGGACATTGAAATGCCAATAGACGCATGAAAACATGCTCAAGTTTATCAGCCACAGGGAAACACAAATGAAAACCACAATGAACTATCACCTCACTCCAGCTAGGATGACTGTAACCTTAAAATAAAAAAATAGCATACTTGCAAGCTTGTAGAGAAAGGGGTATGTTAACACACTGTTGGTAGGAATGCAAATTGTTATAACCATTATGGAAGACAGTATGGAGACTCCTCAGAAAACTACAATGCATCTACCATATAACCCAGCTATCCCACTCCTGGGACTACACCCAAACGAAATCAGCTAATTAAAGAGACACCGACACTCCCACATTTATGGCAGCCCAATTCACAAGAGCAAAGATGTGGAATTAACCTAGATGTCCATCAACTAATGAGTGTATCAACAAAATGTGGAGTATATACATGATGGAATAGTACTCAGCCATAAAAAAGAATCAAATCTGGACCTTTGCAACAAAATGGATGGAACTGGAAACCACTATGCTAAGTGAAATAAGCCAGACTCTGAAAGACAAACATCACATTTACTCTTATTTGTGGACTATACATAGCACACGTACACACACGCCCCTGCACTCAGCCCTGTGAGGCACACACTGACTTGCCGGAGCTCCTAGCTCCTAGCAGTGGCGCGAGCTTGGATCAAGGACTCTGGAACAGGTCTATTTCCCCTCCCATTAACTCTGGAGACCCGCCTCCTTCCTCCCCCCTTCCCCCCCGCAAGGCCCAGGCCTCCTGGGAAGGGCTGGGCTTACTTCTGCAAGCAGCTCTCGTAGTTGAAGGTGGCCTTGAAGCCGTAAATGGAGAAGGTGACAATGCTGGCAAATATGGAGGTGGAGCTGTTGACGAGGCAGACGATGATGGCGTGTTTCTGGCAGTTGTTGGAGGGCTCATTGTAGCTGGCAAAGGCGATCAGGCCACCGAACCCCAGCCCCAGGGAGAAGAAGATCTGTGTGGCTGCGTTGATCCAGGTCCTGGGGTTGGCCAGCTGCTCGATCTGCAAAGCCAGCAGGGACAGGGCTGACAGGCCTCACGTGGGAATCCAGACTCTGAGATCCCAGGGGAAGGAGGTCCAACAGAGGGAGGGACCAGCACCCCACAGCCAGCCGGCAATCCCCAGCACAGAACCACATAGCTCCCCCACTTCGGATCAGCTATGGTGGCCTAAAAGCAGGATGGTCATGTGGCTGCTGGTACAGGCCAGGTCTGGGTCAACCCCATACTGACACTGGTGTAGGGGGTGGATGAGCGGACACCTTGCAGAATGCTATTGTCATTTTGTTTCCAAATGAAGACTGTCTCTCTCCGCTAGTGCAACAGCGCCCCCTACTGATGACAGCACCGAGGGTGTTTCTGGCCAATGAGGGGTTGGGAAGGGATCCCAGCAAACACAGGAGGCAAAGGCGTGCACAGGCTCCAGTGGGCCATGGTGCCCAGCCCAGCTGACAGCACGGGAAGGACTTGGGGTGAGCTTTGGGCAGATGCCAGAAGGGAGGGGTCACAGTCAGGGGTCAGGGACGGGGTGCTGAAACACTGAAGACCCCCAGAACAGGGCTGGGGACCACCTGGCTGAGACGGGGACCCAGGCCCCTGGGGGACCCCAGCCTTTGCCGCAGCCTAGGGACTCACAGCACTACCCCTGGGTACAGCCTCCAGCTACCCTGCCCCTGCCCCTCTTCCCAGGCACCCCAGGAGGCAGCTGGATGCACCAAGCACACCGCCAAGCCCGCCCCCAGCCGCACCTTGGGAGTGAACATGTACTTCAGGCCGTTGGTGGCTCCGTGGAGCGTGAGGCCCCTGACCAGGTAGATGATGAGCACACAGTAGGGCAGCGACGCAGTAAAGTACACCACCTGCGGGCGTGAGGCGCACAGTCAGCCCCCTGTGGAGGTGGGGACCAGGGCGGGCCCCCGGGCATCACCTCCAGTTCTGGCTTCTCGGGCTGCGCCCCAGCTGCCCACAGCCGGACTCGGTGCTGGCGTTCTTGGTTGCACACAGGGTCGGATGTGGGGCTGGAGGGACGCGGCTGTCACACCTGTGAGCACCACAAGGAGAGCTCTCGTCCAGCAGAGAGGAGGCAAACAGGTACTGAGGCCTCCGTCCTTCCACCTCCCTTCAACTTGACCTGACTCTAGAAAGGACTGGAGACAGGACTGGAGATACCACTCACATCAACATTTTCAACGTGCTAAGAAATCACTATGCCAAGAAAACACAGTCTAAGTCGTGAGCCCAGTGTCTGTGCTAAGGCAGAGCTCTGAGCTCAAGTACTTGGGTCACTGCTATCCATGTGGGAGATCTAGTCCGACATCCTGGCTTCAGCCTAGCCCAGTTCTGGTCACTCAAGGCATCTGCAGAATCCAGTAGTAGTTCGAAGACTTCTCTCTCCCTCTCTTCTTCTCAAGAAAATACTAAGTGATTTTTCAAAAAGGATAGACATATCATGTCCTGACATGTCCTCGCGGAACACATCTGTGAATGAACTGGGAAAGCGACGGTCTCATTAAATATGCAAGTTGACAAAGACACAGCAACAACCTTGTACAGCTAAGTTCTCACGAGCACCACAGGTACCCTCCACCCCAGCAAGCTCCCGCTCCTGGAAGCCAACCCCTCGGGGCTGCCTGCAGCCAGGGGCACAGGCGCCTGCTTCCGGGCCCGCCCCCGCAGGGACGCCCCGCCCCGCCCCGCCCCCACTGGGAGCGCCCCGCCCTGCCCCGCCCCCAAAGCGCCCCCGCCCACCTTGCCCGTGGACTCGGTGCCCCGCAGGATACATAGGTACACCAGCAGCCAGGCCAGGAGCAGGCAGAGCGCCGGCTCCCACTGCACGCCGCCGCTCTCCTGGATGGACGGCGAGATGTTGAGGGTCTTGCGGTACCAGAAGTACTGCGTGGACGACGCCTTCTCGCACTCCTCGTCGTAGCCCGTGCGGTTTGCGTTCAGGGGGCACACGGACCACGGCAGGGGGTCCTGGGGGGCCAAAACAAGCGTGTTAGGGGGAGGCGGGGCTGAGGCCTGGGTCACCGGTCACCGTGGCAGTGTGTGGGTGGTGTGTGCGTGGTGTGTGCGTGGTGTGGGCCCCGCAGGGCAGGTGCGGGTCCCCGAAAGGCAGGACGACCGCGGATGGGAGCTCGCTCTCTCTGGCAGAAATATTTAATTTGTTTTCCTTTAATTAAAAGAAAAAAAAAAACGATAAAAGCAGCTTTTTTTAATTTTTTTTAAAACAAACCAAGCTGCTGGGGAAACTACTTGCCCCGTGTGTTCGCTGGCGCTCCTCAGACTGCTTGTAGGGGAAGCGACAGCCCCGAGGTGCAGCTCTGTGAGTGGGAGACCCAGGGGTCCCCCTCTCATCCTTGGAATCCCACCCTCCCTTTAGGACCTGGTGTCTGTGCCCGCTCCTTCCCGGGCTCACGTTCGGAAACATGAGCTGTAAGAGCTCCGTGTGTAGCAGCCATGTGCTCGTCCCTGGCGTCCACGTGGTGACAATCGCAAGGAACTGTACTACAATTGCTTACAGACAAGTAAACGCTCACCTAAATGAGGAAGTGCTAATAAACCGCTAATAGAGGAGTCCGTCTGCCAAGCCAGAAAGGAGCTAGTATGGGGGTAGGGGAGGGAACAAAGAAGTTGTAAAAACAAAACCAAATTTGCAGTGAGTAGAGCTAGAAACGCTTTATGGGGGGGGTGGTAAGAGTTTTGTGTGGCCGATGATGATTTTTATCTTAGCGTACAGCGACTGGATTGTTCCAGCCTGGAAGACAGAGACGGCACAGCGGTAGCAAGCAGGCTTAGCGAGAGCAGGTGGTTTGAAAGGACAAAGCTTGCAGAGAGAATTGCTGGGTTCAAGTTGGTTTGAATCAGGATGATAAGATTGAGTTTATAAAAACTGAACAAGAACACACTGATACAAACCCAGGGTCATTCTCGGTGTTTATACTAATAGGGTTTTCTTAAAATAGTGATGTGCCTGGAGCCAGGAAACAAAGGATGTAGGAAAATTAAGCGTCTTAACGTTCTTCTAAACCTCAGTTTACTCTCAGAGTCATCGAGGTGATCACTTGCTGTCTCTGGTTAATTCATTCTAGATGAGTGAATGTTATTTTTCAATGATGTGTGATCTTATTTGGGACAAGTGTTTTCAATTTTTGGACATCCTGGCTCCCTTGGTACCAAAGTTCCAAGTTCAGACTTTTGACTGGGAGATTTTCCAGGGCCACTGGAGATCCTCAAAGGATGGATCTCTCATCTTGTAGAGATGCAAACTAGTTAGTTTCTCGGGCTTCTTGGACCCAGTGGGAAGCATTGCCAAATAATACGGTGATGTAAAGTTTATTTCTGGGGCCGGCGCTGTGGTGCAGCGGGTTAATGCCCTGGCCTGGGGCACCAGCATTCCATATGGGCACCAGTTCAAGACACAGCTGCTCCACTTCTGATCCAGCTCTCAGATATGGCCTGGGAAGGAAATGGAGTATGTCCCAAGTCCTTGGGCCCCTGTACTCGTGTGGGAGACCCGGAAGAAGCTCTTGGCTCTTGGCTTCGGATCGGTGCAGATCGGTGCAGCTCTGGCTGTTGTGGCCAATTGGGGAGTGAACCATTGGGTGAAGGACCTCTCCCTCCTTCCCTGCTTCCCTCCCTCCCTCCCTCTCTGCCTCTCCTCTGTGTAACTCTTTCAAGTAAATAAATAAATCTTAAAAAAAAAAAAACCCTCACGTGCATTCCTTTGGGAAAAAATGTTATTTCTGTGACATAAATGTTCCAGAGATTGCCTAAAACTAATGAACACCTGATGGTTCTGGTGTGACACTGTAAGTTATCCTAAAAGTCGACATAGAAAAATAAATGTCCTTATCACCTGTACAACTCCCATCAACACTGTGACCATGACTATTTTAAGTCTTTTGTCACCCACAGTTTTCATCCCTAACATATTTGCTATCAGATTCATAAAAATGACTCCAACAGGTACTGTTAAACACAGTTTTTGGTAATTTGAAGATTCAGGGATGACATAACAATTTCTAGAACTATAATAAAGAAATGCACCAAGATAAAACAGAATGAGAATTAGTGACTTGACAATAAGCCAATTAAATGCATGGGGTTTTAGTTTTTTCTTTAATAAGTCTTTACTTAAATCTTTTTTCTGATTTTTACAAAACTCCTTAAAGTATCTCTGGTTTTCAGCATTGCTAAGGTATCCTTCTGCAAACCAAGGAGAAACATTTACTTTCTTTCCCCTACGATTCCCTTCAAATTCAAAAAACTAGTTCTGTGGGGCCAGCACTGTGACATACTAGGTTAATCCTCTGCCTGTGGCACCAGCATCCCATTTGGGCACCAGTTCAAGTCCCGGCTGCTCTACTTCCAATCCAGCTCTCTGCTATGGCCTGGGAAAGCAGTGGAGGATGGCCCAAGTCCTTGGGCCCTGGCACCCACATGGGAGACTTGGAAGAAGCTCCTGGCTCCTGGCTTCAGATTGGCGCAGCTCTGGCCCTTGTGGCCATATGGAGAATGAACCAGTAGATGGGAGACCTTGCTCTCTGTCTCTCCCTCTCTCTGTCTGTAACTCTACCTCTCAAATAAATAAAGCCTTAAAAAAAAACTCTCAGTATTTTTAGGGCCATGTGATCATTTCCACAAGTTCACTAAGAATATGCTCTTTAAGACCCAGCTGAAAACCCCACTGAGAACAGTACACAGCGTGTGCTGCTCCGATATTCCAAGCCTTGTGCTGACTAAACAAAATCATCAGACCCTCGGAGGTCCGGGAACCTCACTATATCCAGTGCCACTGGGAAAACACACCTACAGATTGCCTTGGTCTGGTTTCTCAAGCAGGTTAATACACAGTAAACCCCTTTTCTTCTTGCAATTATGCAAATAATGAAGCTGAGTCTAAATTTTACAAGTTTCTTTTTTTGATAGAAATTTCTATCATTTTTCCATGACTGTTGATGTACAATTTAATACTTTATCCCTTTTAGTACTTTCTGTTCTACTTAATACTATTGGTTGAACTCTGTAATTAACACACAATTATTCTTAGGTATTTAAATTTAACTGTGTGGGGAGCAACTCGGACTAGACTAAGTTACTGGAATTAAGACTTATTCTATGCATCTGCTCTCCCACAATATGGCGCTGGGAGAGGAGTAAACAGCTTCTACACAGCTGCCTCTCACCAACTTGACAAGCTGCAGGAGCTGCTCCTGATTGGAGGAGAGCAGTGTGCTCGGTGTGTGGGTAGCAGAGTTGGGATTGGTGGAAGAGGACTATAAAGGAGGAGAGAGACAACATGCACCAGGAACATCTAAGGGGAACATCCAAATAACATCTGAGCAGCCCCCGAGAGAGCTGGCTGGCGGTGTGCCGCTCCCCCGCGGAAGCGGGGAAAGTGGCAGGGGGAGCCGCCCCTCCACGGAGGTGGAGGGATCAGCAGCCAACCCGGGAAGGGCCGAGCAGACGAAAGAACAGCGCAGGGTCTAGTGTCATTCCTCTGCGAATGGGGTAGCGACAAACTGAAAAGTGGTCCCTGTTAAATATAAGAGTGGGAATAAGAGAGGAAGAGATGTACAACTTGGGACATGCTCAAGCTGACTTGCCCCAAATGGTGGAGTTAGAAATGTGCCAGGGGATTCCAATTCAATCCCATCAAGGTGGCATGTACCAATGCCATCTCACTAGTCCAAGTGATCAATTTCAGTTCACAATTGATCACACTGATAGGTCTAAGAGTCAAAGGGATCACATAAACAAGACTAGTGTCTGTTAATACTAACTAATAGAATTAAAAAGGGAGAGAACGATCCAACATGGGAAGTGGGATGGATACACAGCAGACTCATAAGTTGGCAGATGTCCTAAACAGCACTCTGGCCTCAGAATAAGCCCTTAAGGCATTCGGATCTGGCTCAAGAGCCCATGAGAGTATTTTAGGCATGGAAAGCCAAGACACTCTGGGAAAAAAAAAAAAAAAACTAAATGAAAGATTTCTGTGAGTGAGATGGACATTTATTCCAACCCACATCGCACACTAAAGGTAGTCAAAGTTCGGCCCCTCCTCCCCACCTCAATCCATCTTTCCACCTGACCAAAGACAGTCTGGTGCTGGTGACCGCCCTTGAACTTGACCTGAGCGGTTAGACTGCTGGACTTTGTAGGGTGCAGCCAGTAGAACCCTCTTTTGCTTAAGCTGCTGCTTTGATCTGGCTTCTCTTATGACTGCAGGAGCACAAATGATGTGTGCCCAACAATCAGGACCCAAGGCCAGGTGCAAAGAGAGGCTCTGAGCTGCAGGGAAGGATGAAAAATCAATTCTTGGCAGAGTTGGAGGCTTGGGGGGACGGCACCAACCCTGCTCCGCCGAGACCAGCCCGACGTGGATGGGTCTCGCCAGTATCTGGGTTCTATGGGCTCAGATTCAGAGCACTCGATGCACAGCCATCTCAGGTCCCGCTGCATTGAGTCCTGCATTTCACAGGCACAGAGTCAAGGTCCCGTTCCATCACCTGATGGGCCACAGCCGCTTTAACAGTGAGCAGCTGGAGCTCGGGCCTGGACATCTGGGCAGTGCATGGGACCAGTGCTAGGGCAACCTCTGTCTCCCTGGTCAGGCTCACTCCTCGGAATCTGAGAGTGGCTTCTAGCTCAGAGCCCGGCTGTTTGCACCTGACCGCCAACAGGTGCTCCCTGCCCATGAGTAGGAACAGACTGCACTGTCCAAGGGGTAGGGGGTCCGCAGGGTACAGGTTCGGAAGTGCTCTGGGGGAGTGGTGAGGGGGTTCTGGGCCCCCTCCATCCTCCCACCCCCACTGGCTCCCATGGATGCTATGGCCCTCGTCTTCCTCCCCTTCCTCTCTCCTGGCATGCAGGCTCTGGCTCACCTGGAAGGAGTGGAAGAGGTACCAGAAGGCCCAGGTGTTGATGACGTTGTAGTACATGGAGAGCAAGAAGGAGACCACCACGCTGGCGACGCCTGCAAGGAGGCACAGGGTGGCGCTTAGGACGACGACGCCCTCCCCACTCTGAGGCAGCAGTGGGGGCAGCCTGGGCAGGAGTGCCCAGGACATGCCTGCAGGGACCACAGAACCCCCCCCCCCCAGGTGTGTGTAGTGGGCGTTCCCATGCGCTGTAAGCACTTAGTCAAGCTTTTGCCTTGACCACCAACCTTGCCCTTGCTTTGAGGCTTGAGGCTGATGATTTTCAATGTCAATGCCAGGTAGGGTGCTAAGAATGTCTTTGTTGCTCACAGTAAAATTATCCCCATGGGACAGCAAAGCCTGAGGCACAGTTCACCCAGGCCCACCAGCTAATTATGGCAGTGCTAGGACTCCAACCTCACAGGAGAAGCCCCTGGTCACTGCCACATACCACGCTGCACTCCACGTGGGAGGTGCTCCCTCCTTGGGTCACCTGAGGTTGAGTCACTGGACCCAAACCTGCCCTGTGGCGGCAGAGAGCAGGGGCATGGGAGGGGACAGGCGTGGAGGGGATGGCGGCTGTCCTGCCCTAGCCTGCAAGGACCCAAGGGTGGAGCTGGGAGCACCGGCAGCAGGGCCCCCGGGGCTACTCTGAGCTGGTCCTCCACAGCCCTTAGGGTCTATGGTCCTCACTCCTCCCCCTCCCCCCTCCTCCCTCAAAGCAGCTTCCCCCCACCCCCACCACCACCGACCGCTCGTTGTTAAACAACACAAGTGTGCACACACGTGCTGCCTATCTTGTCCTGTAGCAGGTGCAGCCTGAGAAGCCGTGTGCCACGGTTTCAAGTTCAACAGTCTCCAGAACCCAGGTGTGAAAGGCTGCAAACACGCCCCCTGCCCCCGTCCACACTGCCTGGCACCCTCCTGGGCTCTCTCGGGGTGGGGGTGGGGTCCCAGGGTGGGAGGGGGCTGGAGAGGGCCCCACGTACCGACGCCGCTGAGGTAGGGGCTGATGGTCCTCCAGGCGCCGATGCTGCCCTGTCGCATGCGCTGCCCCACGGCCAGTTCCAGGTACAGGAGCGGCATCCCCTCCACCAGGAGCATGATGACGTAGGGGACCAGGAAGCTACCTGTGGGCGCCCAGAGCTGAGAGCCAGGCCATCGCCCACGCTGGCCTCCGTGCTGTCCTGTCCCAGCCCCCGTGCCACGCCCCCCGTCATCCAAGTTGCCTCGCCGCTGCTCCTGTCCCCCATCCTTTGACCTCTGCTCACCCATTTGCCTGCTGGTCCAGGGATAAGAGGCAGCCAGGTGAAAATCTTTACCCTCACCTCAGCTGCTCGAGTGCTCCAAAGCCCCTGCCGCCCAGCCCCACCGGCAGAACCCAGGCTGCTGAGAATCACAGACCTTTCAAACCCACTGCTCCCAAGGAGCCATCTACAGACAGCTGCCCTGGGTAGGGAGGAGCCGCGGAGTGGCAGTGGAGCTGCGACAACGTCCCGCAGGTTGGGAGACACGGGGTCTGTCGGCTGCTCCTCCTGGTGGGCTCCCCCCAGCAGCTGGCTCACTAGCAGTGGCCATGACACAGGCTAGTGGGATAAGGGGCAGGGCTTCTGATTCTAATGAAACCAGGTCCGCCCAGCTGCAGAGTTCAGAGCAGGCTGCAGAGGGCGCTGTTCCACAGGTGTGAAGGTTCACGAGGAGTGCGCTCAGGTGGGTGGGTGCCCAGTGTTGCCTGAAATGCCCTCACGGTCCATGCCCGCATGCCACCGCCCACTTTTCCCTCAAGCTCCTACCACCACACAGGGACCCTGGCGTCCCCCTTAGACACCGCAGAGCCATGTACTCGGGCAGGGAACCCTGAATGCACTAACTCAGGCGCTGTCCAGAGTTCTGCCGTCCCAGGCAAAGCCGTGAGACCCAGCCCACTTCTCCCTGCCCCTGCCGGTTATGTCGAGGGTTGTGGCTGGACTGGGACCTAGCAGAGCCCTGAGGCCACACCTCAGAGGAAAAGTCACTGTCACTCAGGGGGGCTGAGAGGTAGGTCCCACCCCCACTCCTAGGCTCCGCCTTCCAGCTGCTCCTCCTCCTGCCCACGTGGTGCCCAGGACACTCATCTTGGATGCTACTGTGGGGACCCCACTAGCTCTATTCCTTCTTGGCCAACAGAGGGTGTTCCTGCCCTTTACCAGGTTTCTGTCCCTGGACAAGGACACTGAGGCCATCAGGGGCTCCCACCTGTGACACAGCTGACAGCACAGGCTGTGTGCACAGAGCCTGCTCGGAGCTGCACTGTGACGCTCCGTGGTTACATGATAACTTCTATCATCAAGGTGTCAAACAGTAACCACGCTGGCCTGTGGAGGTGGCTGTGTCCCTGACAGGTCTGGCCAGCCTTCCCTCTGCCTGTGGGTCAGGTGCAGCTGCACAGCCTGGTGCCAAGGTGGGCGCTGGGGGGGGCTCCCACCCATCGATCATGAGTGATTGCTATCGCCCTTGCCAACCGTTCATGTAGACAGGGGCATTTGCCTGCAATCATTTTTCAACATATGACACCAGAACAACTGAGCCGCAGCCCATTTTTCGCATTTCATATGAAAACATCCCAACAGGGATCATAGACCAAATGCGCAAGCCAAAGGTGCAAAACTTAGAAGCAGGGGACAAAGTGTTTCTGGTGTGGGTTCCGGCGATGCTTTCTCTGCTACAACACCCATTAGCTGGGGACAAGAAGGTCCCACCTTGCCCTCCCACAGAGTCCGAGGGAGGGGCCCAGCGGTCTGACCTTGGGCACACGTGGGACGGTGGTGCCTGGTGCTCCAGGCTGGGTGGAACCAGGCAGGTCCTGGCACAGGGCCCCCCAGGTGCGCACTCACCTCCGCCGTACATCTGACACAAGTAGGGGAAGCGCCACATGTTGCCCAGGCCCACGGCGTAGGAGATGCAGGTGAATAGGAACTGCAGCGGGTTGGACCACAGCGGCCGCGCCTTCTCCATGGCCCCGGCCTCCACGCCGGGGGTTCCCACCTGGATGCTGCTCTCTCTGCCCCCCCACGCCCCAGGACGCTGACCTGGGCTTTCCGGGCTTCCCCAGGACTTAGGCTCCCCAGCCTCTGGCAGGGAGGCCAGATGGGACCTAGGGGGCTCCATCCCCGGAAGCCGCCACCTGCGAGGTGGGAAACGCCAGCTCTCTCTTCTGGAACCCAGGCCCCTCCCTCTCCTGCTGCCGCTCTGGTCTCCTGGGCCCTGGAATCTGCTCTCTGCCCCACCGGGGCCCTGGCTCCAGCTCTATCCATTTTCTTGGCGCCTCCCTCTCTGGCCTGGACCTACGGTTGGACACTTGCATGCATCTCCCTCCCACCCACCTTTGACCCCTGTTCCTTTCACTGCTTCTCAGCCCTGAGACACCCAAACACCAGGGTTTCTGGGCTCCCCAGGTTGCTGGTAGGGGCTTCTAGAAAAATCTGGTAGAGCTGCGTACTATTATATCTGGTGGAGATTAGTGAGGGGCCACTGCTCACTCCCCCTCCCTCCGCTCTGCAGAGCCCGCTGTGATGTGTGCTGTTGGCCGATTTCTCTGGTGTCAATTCTCCCTCTGTGGCCAGTGCCAAGCCACCCGTGGTGGCACCACAGGTGGCACTGGGGGAGAAACGCAGCGCACCCGATATCGCATTTCCACCTCCCAGCTTCAGGAGCTAGGGGATCCTCCAGAGCCAGTTAAGGTCAAGTGGAGCCAATAATTAGGAAGGGGTGAGGAGCGAGGAGTTAGCTGCTCATTCTTAATGCGGGCTGCATGTAACAAGCAGCTCAGACAATTCCTGAAACGCCACCTGTGGGCTCTAGGAGGCGCCACTGCACCAGGCAGTCTCCTTCGCTTTTGGTTCCACTTGCACGGAAAGCTACTGAATAAGGACGGGTTTGCTTGCACCCACTGAGGCTCAACTTTTGATGGGAACCCAGCAACCACAACCTCCTAAGACACAGCTGTTCGTTAATGCACCGGAACCCAGCAATGGGTGCTCCTTTTAATGAGATCTTTGCCACTGAGCTGCTAACCTCATTGTCCTCTCCGAAGCCACCAGTTCACCTTGAGGATATCAAACTTCTGGGCACGTTTCAGATGGGACAAACAGTGTCGGCACCGCCAAGTCCTGCACCTCTCTGCCTGCCCAGCAGGATGCGCGCCAGGAGAGCGGGAGGTCTCAGGAGCTGCCTTGTCACCAGTGTCCCCGAGGCCTTCCCCTGTCTGATCCAAATAGGGTCACATCGGGGCTGGCGTGGCGGTGCAGCAGTTCAGGCCACTTCCCGCGACCCTGGCATCCCATGTGAGTTCTGGTTTGGGTCCGGCTGCTCCACTGCTGATCCGGAAAAGCAGCAGAGTAGCCCAAGTGGTGGGGTCCCTGCTGCTCATGTGGGAGGCCTGGCCAGGTGCTGGCTGTTGGGGCCATCTGGGAGGGAACCAGAGGGTGGAAGATCTCTCTGTAGCTCTAACTCTCTCCTGATCCCTCTCTTGCTTACTCTCTCGCCCTCTCTCCCCCTGGCCTGTTAACTCCAGTGTTCAGTGTGTTTTGTGGTGTCCTTACACTGATGCCATGACTCAGATCCAGGCTCTCCCATGAACTTGGCGTCTGAGCTGCTTTGGGGTCCTGGATTTCTGCCAGTCAGAAAACACACCCCCGGGACTCCTTCCAGGTCACTGAATGCCCTGTGTTCTCCACACACACGTCGGCCTTTCAAATCCTCAGGTGAGACACAGATCAGGGAATTCTCTTACAGTGAACTTAACCACAGGACGTGGTTCACTCTGCTTCATCTCCCAGTCCTGGTACCAGGCACCACAACCTCCCACGGGCTACAGGCTATGGGCCTTTTGTCTTCACACAGGCTCTAGACCTCGGGCTCCAGTGGGTGCGTGGTTGAGGACCCCCACTCTTTATATCTGTACCCTCCCTGTCAGACGGCCGCGATGTTGGGGAGCCCGATAGCCACCAGTCCAACTGCATGGGTTGCCATGGAAACTTTTCTGTCCAACCCTCCTCTCAGTTGTCTCCTACCTGGACGGCCAGTCCACATTTGACCCTGACACCATTCAAGATCTTTATCACGTCTGTGAGCCTTCAGGAAAGTGGAAAAAAAAATCTCCTATGTCTAAGCTTTCTCCTATCTCAGCTCTAAACTTTCTCCGGTTCAAGTTCTCTTAACTTCCAAAGCTCTCACTCTCTTGGTTCCCGGCCCACCCAGGAATTCCAACCTTATCTCAGAACCACCCAGGCCTCGTCTTCTCCAACCCGCCTTCGCCCCTCCTCCTCCTGTTCTAACTTTGCCATAATAGCTCCCTAAGGAGGTTCACACCTCCCTTAGGATGTTCCCTATGTGAAGAGATAAGTTAGGCCTGGAGCTCATAACTGGGGAGGCCATAGAGCCACCTGATTATTATCAGGCCCCTCTGTCAGTTTCTATTTGCCTCTCAGTGGGAAAGCCTGCTCATGGTTTAGACAGCACCTTTCTTAGGTCCTCTAACAATGGCTGTGTCCTTTGTTCTAGACCCTGTCTAGCCCACTCGGGGCCTCATTCCTTTGTAATCATAGCCTCTACTCTTACATCACTGGCTCTTCTTCCAGCCAATGTGTATTGATGGTCTCCTCCCCAACCTAATGTTCTAGGATCAGAATTTTTCTACAGACAAACCCCGCCCACCCACAAGAGACGGGCGGCCTTTCTTGCAGTCTTGGTCGGGATCAGCTTCTCGGCCTGCCTCTCCTGAGCAGGCATCAGGAACAGCTTTGGGCCACAACGTGGTCTCCACCAACCGACTCCAAAACAACTCCCACAGTTTCAAGAGGAGGTCACCAGGTCCCCTGAGACCTCAGCTGACGCCATCTGAGGTCTCCAAAGCCAAATCACCTCACTAGCAGGTGTAGTACCACAGAAGAGACGGGCCTTAACCACGTTATTATGTTAGCCGATCAGGCTACGTAGAACCACATCCGTCTAACATCTAGGGTTCAGAGACCCCCTTGTTTCCTCTCCTCTGTTCAAGCGCTTACAGGAGGTGATAATGGAGCGAACCAAGGCCTTAACTAACCAGGCGGTCAACCAAGTGCTGCTACAGGGGCATACTCAGCTCCCTACCCAGACATTGCAGCTTTGAGACCTTGCCCCATGTCAGCAGGAAGTACTCTAAAAGACAGATCATCGTCCCTCCACCCCTCCTGGACTTTGGGGCTGCTGTAATCCCATACAACACTTGCTTTGTAAAAAAAAAATAAATAAATAAAAGGGAATATTAGTAAAATGGTGTGGTCTTATCTGTGGCGTCATCTATGCCCCAGAAGCCATCTTGGGCTCTGGGCCCCATGGCCACTTTGCCCAGTAAGCTCCAGTCCTAAGTTCCATGGCCCAAGCACAGGTGTCAGCTCCACCCCCCCTACACTAACGGGTTTTGCTTCTCCTACTTCCCTGCCCCAGGCAAAGGTATAACAGGACCTGCCTCCAGCACACGTGCCCTCTCTCCTGATCCCTCTCTCACTCACTCTCTCGCCCTCCACCTCTGGCCTGTCAGGCTTCCCCCACCCAACAATAAATCTTTTCCTTAAAACAATAACAAAAATAGGGTTCACAGGTCACTGTGAACAGCAGTCATTTAACCAGAGTGGCCATTAGAAGGCTTTAAAAGCAAATACACAAAACTGCTTAGTAGTAATCTTTAATTCTGCCTAGGTAATCAGTCTTTTTTTTTTTTTTTTTTTTTTTGCTCTTCACTCAAAAGGTGAACAGAAATCTTTTATGGTCTCTTATCAGCTAAGCTGTAATCCTGTTGATTTTTTTTTTAAATCTATTTGCGAGAGAGGGACAGAGTTCCTATCCACTGGTTCATTGCCCAGACATCAGCAACAGGTGGGGCTGGGCTGAGCTAAAGCCAAGAGCCAGGAACTCCACCTGGGTCTCCCACATGGGTGGCAGGACTCCACGACGAGGGGTCGACCTGGTGCCACCTCGGGTGGGCGTTAGCAGGCAGCGGAATCAGGAGCTGGTTTGGGCTGGGCAGTCTGACATCGGGTCTTACCTGCGAGGCTGAGCATCATAGCGGACTCTGTTGAAAGCAGCGAGACCGGTGCGTAGGCTCTGAGCTCCCGGTGCCTAGCTGAGCCAATGCCTGTGCCGGGGGTGACCCAGTCAGGTCAGGCTTTTCCTACCTGAGGGCTCAGATGGAGGAAGAGGCCAGGAAGCCCGAGCCCACCCCCGGCAGCCATAACCGCCTGTGGCTCTTGCCGGAGACTCAGCCCCTGCATCTGCACCTGCGCCTGCGCGCTCTCCTGGCGTAAGGCACCCTTGGTGCAGCCCCAGACCCGAGAGGAGCCGCCCTCGGCTACTGGGAGGTGGGTGGGCTCTGTGGGTGACAGAGGACTGCGAGGGATGGTCAGGGGTGCCTTTCCTGTAGTAGGGACCGGCAGGGACATTTCCTCTCTGGTTTTCACCTGCAGACCACTAACTGGAGGGGCTGGGGCTTAAAGAAGAACACACCCAGGAGGAACGGGCCCCAGTGGAAGCTGACAAGTGGCAGGAAGCCCTGGGAGCAGCCGAGCAAGTGGTACCATCAGGTCTCCCAGGAGCCGGCCTGGGGAGGTGTTGATTTCCCAGAGAGGGCGATGTAGTGAGTGAGGTTGAGAGAGACAGAGCTTGGTCGGCTAAGAAGGTCCCATGTGAGAAGCAGGACCGAAAACCAAGAGAAAGCGAGGCCTTGAAGTTCCACGTTGAACATCAGCCTCCAAGGATGGTCAGATGGGTTGGCACAGGGCTAGAGCCGCGTGCAGAGAAGTGGTCTGTGAGAGGCTCCAGCCCACGCTGAGCCCCTGAAGGGAAACTGTATGCCTTCTCCAGTGCACACCCACGCATGCACGTGGCCTCATTTGCATACAAAGCCCAGAGACTCGCAGGGACCTCCTTGAAGGCTGTGGCCTCTTCAGATAGGGTAAGGGATACACCTGTACTTATTCTTTTCTTTTGAATTCACTTTTTCTCTTCAATACGTTTAAACATGAAACTTTATCTCTTTACCATATGTGTAAAATGAATGTTTTCTAATGCATTTGAAAATAAAAACATTAGGAATTTATAAACTTCTCTTTCCAAGGCTGCCTACAGTCACTACACAATGCCTCGGCAGTCTATAGCCCACTCTGGGTGCATAGAGTTTGCCCACCACACCACCAGCAGGGCCCTAGATCCCAAGGGTGCCTGTGTGGGACTGTGGCCAGCTTGCAGTGAGGTGCAAGTGGGTAGGCCCTGGGGTTCAGTTGCTGTGCTTTGCAAAGAGAATTGATTCAGCTACTGACTCATTTAAATAGAGGTGTTGCAGGAGCCCTGCTTCTGTGTCTGTAGTGTGAACGTGAGTACAGAGACCCTGTGATGCTTGCACGGTGACAAACATGCCTAACAACGACCGTATTCCGTCGGGAGCACGCCAGGGAAATCTGCTCCTAGCTGCCAGGCAGCCACTGATGGGTGCAGTCTGCTTGCTGGGGAAAGGCAGCTGGCGGGAGATACTTCATTGCCTTCTCCAACTTCTCGCAGGCAGACCAGCGGTTCGTGTGGAACGGTCATCTTCTGCGAGAGCTGTCTGCTCAGCCAGAGGTAACGTGCATGGAATCACATCCGCTGTGTCATGAAGACTTAACTGTACAGTGACTTAGCATAAAATGACTGTTCACCAGGGATTGGGATAGATAATTCTGATTTCACTCTGTGTGGAACGTACACACTTGGATCAGGTCTACACTCGCTTGGTTGAAGAAGCCTAATTCTTTTACTATGAGCTGCTGAAGGCACCTTAAGTAAAAATGCGTTGCTTTCTGCAAGAGAGAGAGAGCTAGAGTGGGTGTTGGTGGATGAGCAATAGAGAAGTGAGGGCCAGGGCTAGGACCCCAGACAACTGGGGCTCTGCATGTGTCTTCCTGGGGCTGTGGCTTCTATCAGCGACCTGGGAGAGATGTGTGCACTGTCCCTGCCTCTGTCCTCTGTTTAGTGAAATGAGGTTACGTAGAGGGAGGCCCCAGTAAGAAATCAATCCCGTGAGCCCTCCCGAACTGCGACTGAAATGAACAAAGAAGCAAAACTACCCGGAACAAAATCACACCTGTACTAAACACACACATGGGTTTTCTCGTCTTTATTCCGAAACAATCCAAAACCTGTGTCCCTAGCATTTACCTTCTACCAGGTATTACAGTAACTGAGATCAGTTAGGGTAGGTGGGAGGGTGTGCCGGGCTCTGTGCAAACACTCTTGCCACCTTAGCAAGGCTGTGAGAGCATCAGAGGGGGCCACGCGTGGTGAAGATGGGTTGTGTGTTGACTCTGGGAAGTGGGTTTGTCTGGTTGCTCTATTTCTTGTCATTTGCTAGTCTTGTTCGGAGAAGTAGTTTGTGGTGCAAACAGCAGGGTGGGGGGAGGGATCTTTGCCTGGGAGGAATGAAGAAGTTGCAGGCCAGGAATGAAACAGAGGTGAGCATTCTGCAATGCAGGTGCTCACTGTGTCCAAATCTGTGCCTGTGCAATGCAGATGACCGCAGCGGGTCATGTCACCTTAGAGACATTTCTGTAACAGGAAAAGGTGCCCTGCGCTTACTACTTTTCCATGTTTCTGTATTACCTCGTCATACCTGTGTGATACCATACTGCTTCTTTCACATATTTACTTTTGAGGTGCATTGATTATAAAGACATTGTCGTCTCCTTGTTTCAGTCCAGTGGTTTGCTCCTCCACAGTCCCATGCTGGGCTTCTCACCTGATATTACTCTTAGTGCACAGCGGGCTTTAGGGTTTATTCTCATGCACACTTAGAGATGGCTTCTAGAACCGCATGAGCAAAGTGTTTCAGAACAGGTAGAAATTGCTACCAACAAGAAAGGCAAACTCGTTGGCACAGAATCTTAGAACATGGATTGCAAGTGGCCAGTAACAACATGAGTTCTTCGAATTATTCTCTCTCTGTTCAAGGATTCTGGGGCTCCTGATTTAACGACAAAGACTATGTTTCCTCTGTTTTGCCTTTATCTGCTGTTCCTTTGTATCTGTAAATTTCAGGACAGCTTGAACCCGACAGTTGAGCGGCAGAGCTCTTGGGGGCTCCTGCGGTGATTTCCAGGTTCTTCTGCTCAGCGTCCTCCATGGCCACCGTCGGTTTTCCGGCATCAGATTGTGCCAGCCCCCACACCAAAGCTCAGCACAGTTGTTGCCCTTAAAAACATTCGAGCTTCCTACCCCAGCCTACATGGCCCCGCCTGCTCCTGCATGCACACCTCCTATCATGCTCCTTCCTATTCCCACCCCAGGGCCTTTGCACTTGCTGTTGGTTCTGCCTGGACTGACCCTTCCCTGGGAATTTGTATCATGAGCTCACCCTTATCTTTCAATTCCAGGTCACATAGCCCCTACTCGAATCTCCCTCCCCACAGTACATTAGCGCCCCTCTAAGGCCATCATCTGGGCCCATTCATTTCCTTCTTGGACACCATAAGTCCACATTCATCGCATTGACATGTTGTCTAGCGTTCTCTCTCTCCTCTCCCAGAATCTAAGTGTCATAGAAGCCGGCGTCGGCATCTGTTGGGTTTACAATCCTCCTGTTACCTCTCCAGGGGCTGCTTTGTAATTTGCAAATTGAGAAAGTTCAGGAAAGGCCAGTCCGTGAAACAACGTACAAAAACCCGATCCACTGCTTGACCCATTTTTGTCCTCAGTTGAGGTCCCAAGGTCGATTTGAATCAATGGTGGTCTCCCATGGCCCCGGCCAGAGAAATGCTGAGGACTGGGTAGGCTGCCCGGGACCCCCTCCAAAGCAGTGGGAAGATTCTGCAGTGACTCACAAGTGTCCCCTTCTGCTTTCAATCCGATAGATGGGAACGTGTTTTCCTGGCTGGTCCTGAAGCAGCTGTCTCCGTCCTCTCCTGCTGTAGGTAGCAGAGAAGCATGGGGGAGAAACCAGGGCGCTGAATATTGGGGTTCAACACAGCCCGGTCCATACGTTTGAAGGGACAGTCATCTTTTGATACTTGGATTTCTGGGGACACTGGGAGTGTGGATAAGATGACAACTCCAGACAGAAGACCTTGCTAATGCCTATTTTTGCTAAGTTTATAGCATGAAAAAAAAAGTTAAAAAAATGACATTGCTGGCTGATGTTACGATGTCTTCAGAAATGTCTGTAGAAAGATCCCCAAAGAAACTCTCTGCATGCCAAGACCTCAGTGAAGCACCGAATGTCAGAGCAGGGGACCTGGACCCACTGATGGCAGCAAAACAAAAAGACAAGGTGGCATGGTGGGCGGTGCCATCTCACACGGCCGGCGTGGCTTCTGTTACAAGATGCCCTGTTTGCATTGCGTATATTCTAAAAAACTATTTATCTGTACATAAAGTTGGTTGTAAGTGGTGTTTGTGGTTGTTGCTGTAAGAGTTGGCCATGCTGTGCAAACAACACGAAGTCAATGTTGAGCTCTCCTCCTCATAGGGGCTTCCAGAACTTTCCCCACTCCACAAAGACACCACGGGCCATGGAAGACACACCTTGAGGACCAGGCTCCTCATGGCAAACTTCAGTTGGGGCAACATTGGTAGAGGAGGGCAGGTCCTGGATCCAATGTGCAAGGGCTTAGATTCCACAAAGTTCCCACCCTGGGGTTTGCAAAGCTCTTCTCCGTCTGTGGCCAACAGTCCTGTTAGTCGGCAAGTGGAGAGGGGCAGCGAGGTGCTGCACGCTCACGGCGGGCAAAGGCAGCAGTACTGACCGCATGCTGACAAGAGGAGAGTATTTCACCCCGGGCACCTCAGCACTCCCGAAACCGATCCAAGCGCGGCTGCCTCTCCTTGGCGCAAACCCAGTGGCTTAGATTTGGTCCAAAAAATTAAATCAAATTTCTGCTCGCACCATGCATTCATTTTAGGATTTCCCTAGAATGAAACAAGGGAATCTCTTTAAGGCTGGCCCGATCAGACTGAGCCTGGGTCACAAGGAGGCAGCCGGACAGGACCTCCCGGGGCAGGTCCAGGGGAGAAAGGGCGGCTTCCTGAGGTGGGGAGGGGTGCTCTCCAGAGCAGGTGTCCTTTGTGTCCTTCCTCCACACCGTCCTCATCCTCCTGTGCAGCCCAGGAAGGTGACAGCTGTCTCCCCTTGGCTTCAGTGCCTGCGATGGCAGCCGAGCAGGGTGTTCCTGGGAGCCGGAGCTCTGGGGGGCCCTGATCTCAGGACGCGGGGGCTGTGTCTCCTCTCTTGAGGCAGCGCAGGATGAATGTCCCCAGGGCCACCAGGGGGACGCACATGGTGGAGGCGGCCACGAGCAGCCCGATGACAGCCAGAGCGTACGGCGGGTAGTCCCTGGTCACCAGCTGGCCCTGCAAGGGGGAACAGGAGTCAGCAGCAGGAAGTGCCCCAGCCCACAGGCGCCCACTTAGGGGAGCAGGGTGCTGGGGGGGAAGGGAGCCTGGGGTGGTACCCACTGCGAGGCCCGCGCAGCCCTGGAGTTCCCAGCAGGGAGATGAGTCCCTCCCTCCAGCCAGCGGTGGAGCTGCTGCTCCAACACCCACAGATCAGCGCCTCATGTCAGAGGGGCCTTGTAGGACCCCCATATTGGGGGCAGTAGCAGCCCCTAACAAGAATGCAGCTGGAAGGCTCTGGGTGGTGCCGGGGAACAGTGCAGCCCAGACCACGTGGCTGAGCACACCTGGGCCAGGCTTCCAGGGAGGAAGCATCTGTCAAGCACTCACAGGGCTGCTCGCACGCTGCAACCAGTGACCGGTCCGCAGCATGGATCTAACCAAGGCTGTGCTTTCGGAAGTGAGGGGCCTGGCCAGGGAGGGCAGGTACCTGGGTGGCGTCCCAGGCTTGGTACCGCAGCGTCCCCGCCAGGATGTAGTCGCTCAGGTAGAAGAGAAAGAGGCTGATGATGAGCAGCGGGCTCACGACTGCCCACATGATCTTCCAGTACCAGCTGAGGGCGCGGCCGGTCATGGCCTGGAGGTCACGTTCAAACCTGGTGCGGAGGAAGTCCGGGTGGCCCCCGGTGCAGTGATCAGATCTGGTCTGTATTATGTCATGATGTTAAGGGATCCTGTTTCTACCAGATATTTTAAGCCTTCTTGACAGGCATTCAAAAATCAAAGTTCCAAATTCTTTGGACTTTGATATTTCCAGTTGGGCCTCTGGAAATATCAAAGAATATATGTCTCTCCCCTTGTAGAGCCACCAACTAATCAGGGTGTTTGGATTACATGAAAGGTACTGTCAGGATATGAAGTGGTGCTAAACGTTAAGTTACGATAATCTAAAAAGCTACCGATACAAATGTCCAAAAGTGAAAAACTCTATGGATCTTGTGTGACCAGACATGATGGTTATCTTAATGAGAAAGGCCCAGAGGCCTAAAAGGGATAAATGATTTGTAAAATCCTACTGATGCTTTCAAAAACAATGTGTGGAGTAAGCAAGTGCCTCTTGTTTGTTAATGAGTTTATAACTTTAACCATGGCTATTTAAAGTCTTTTGTCATCCATAGTTTGTGTTCTCCTCCAAATACTAAAATTCAGATTTGCTGCTGATAAGGACTAAACATTGTTGCTCCTGTGTTTTACTCCGTCCTCCTGTAGGTTCTGAGGGACTTTCCCAGTGACTTGTACCATATTCTGTACTTTGGGACGGCCCTGCAAGGAGATGAAGCCAGTAATGCACTACAGGTTCCAACTGGGAGGAAGTGTGGTTCACTGAGGTTACTAAGAGCAGAAAGTAATGCAAATCAATTGGTAATTTTCAAAAGGTTAAAGATTTTTAGAAGCTATTACTGAAACAGCGTTATTGTTCTATCTTGTATGTTATGTTATACATGTGTACATACTATATGTCTACATAGGAAAGTTGAATAAGAGCTCTATTTTAATTGGCTTATAGATAAAAGATTGCTCATAAATTTAAACTGCTAAGTTAACTAAAGGTAGCTTTTGGTTCACATGACCTAGATGAATCTCTGTATCAGGTGTTTTAGGTGTTTATGCTAAGGTTGCTGATCCAACAAGTTACACTGTGTTAGATCTTTAAGAGATGTTTTTAAATACATGTATTCTGTAAATTTATGGAAGGCATTGGACCTTCTTGTGAGTGTTTTCACAAGTTGTTATTTAACAATTAAAATTGTTGCTAAGTTTTCATTTGATATTAAGTTACCGACAGTAAGAGAGCTGGGAAGGCTGACTTGTTCCCTGATTTCTCTCTTCTCTTCAAGGTGGGGAACTGGCTCTGTACTGAAAGACTCTCCGGGATGCACAGTTTGATCTTCAGGCCTTATAAAAGGGATGGATAACGTGTTTCTGTAATAATAGCACAGCCAGACTGAGAGCTTCAATCATGATTTCACAGCTACATTTACTTCCCAATAGGCACAGGAAACAGGCAAAACCTCCCTTTCAGACCATACAAAGGGAGAGAAAATTTTCAAGTGAGGACATAGCTTTGCTCATGGGCATTGTCCACCTCACAGAGAAACCACTACCAGAACATGCCTGTGGCTACAGACCTCTAGTTTAGGGCACCAAAGATAGGGATGGAGCACCCCCTGACTTGCATCCTCCTAAAGCTTTCCTCTGGTCTGCTTTAACCAAATCCAGAAGGAAGAGGAAGCCAGGCAGCAGAAGCGATACAGAGAGAGGCAGCAGCCCATGAATGGCTGCCTTGCACAGTGGTCTGCCCTCAAGGAGACCCAGCCGCCAGTCCACTGCAGTGGCTTTCGAGGCGGAAAGCCAGGGTTGCAGCAGAAGTCAGCTTGTGAGGAGCCCTGGCAGCCCTGCCAGCCGAGAGTTGGGTCACTGCAAACAGAGCTGACCTGCAGTCAAAGGGCGCCCAGGTCAGAGCCACACATCTTGTTGGCTCCAAGCTGAAGAGCCCTTCACTCGGCCCAGCTTCCAAAGTGACCACCGCTGCTGAGGGGACGGCCCAGTAGGGTCAGCAACACTGCAGGCAGAACTGTAGATTTCCTGTTGGAGATGCCACCTGCCGTCACCGGGCCAGCGCCCCTCCCAGGCCAGCTAGGTAATGGGAGTCACCAGGGTGTGCTCCCTAAGGAGGTTCACACCTCCCTTAGGATGTTCCCCATGTGAAGAGATAAGTTAGGCCTGGAGCTCATAACTGGGGAGGCCATAGAGCCCACCTGATTATTATCAGGCCCCTCTGTCAGTTTCTATTTGCCTCTCAGTGGGAAAGCCTGCTCATGGTTTAGACAGCACCTTTCTTAGGTCCTCTAACAATGGCTGTGTCCTTTGTTCTAGACCCTGTCTAGCCCACTCAGGGCCTCATTCCTTTGTAATCATAGCCTCCACTCTTACATCACTGGCTCTTCTTCCAGCCAATGTGTATTGATGGTCTTCTCCCCAACCTAATGTTCTATGATCAGAATTTTTCTACAGACAAACCCCCCCCGCCCCACCTGCAAGAGACGCGCGGCCTTTCTCCCAGTCTTGGTCGGGATCAGCTTCTCGGCCTGCCTCTCCTGAGCAGGCATCAGGAACAGCTTTGGGCCACAACGTTGTCTCCACCAACCAACTCCAAAAGCAACTCCAACAGTTACAAGCGGAGGTCACTAGGTCCCCTAAGACCTCAGCTGACGCCATCCGAGGTCTCCAAAGCCAAATCACCTCACTAGCAGGTGTAGTACCACAGAACAGATGGGCCTTCACAGTGTTGTTATTATGTTAACCAATCAGGCTACGTAGAACCACATCCATCAGATGTCCTCACCAGGGTCCAGAGAGCCCCTAGTTTCCTCTCCTCTAGAAAACCCTCTCATTACCTGGTTAATGCTACTCCTAGGACCATCAGCTGCTATTCTCACCCTGGCTTTTATACTACTGTGTCTGTTTAAGAGTTTACAGGAGGTGATAATGGAATGAACCAAGGCCTTCACCAACCAGGTGGTCAACCAAATGCTGCTACAGGGATATACTCAGCTCCCTACCCGGGAGACGGTGGCTTGAGACATCACCCCATGCCAGCAGAGGGTAACTCATTGTCCCCATGTCAGCAGGGAGTACTCTAAAAGACAGATCATCGTCCCTCCACCCCTCCTGGACTTTGGGGCTGCTGTAATCCCATACAACACCTGCTTTATAAAAAGCCAAAAGGGGGAATGTTAGTAACATGGTGCAGTGTCATCTGTGACGCCATTTTAGGCTCTGGTACCTGTCACCATCTTGCACAGTAAGCTTCAGTCCTATGCCCAGCCTGATTTGCTGGAAGTCAGGTGACCAAATGGCCCACCCACAAGCGTCAGCTCCACCCCCTCCCTCACCCCCACAGGATGCACTGCCCCCACTTCCCTACCCAACAGGCCTGCTTCCCACACCCATGCTCTCTCTTGACCCTTCTACCCCTTTTCCCCCTCTCCCTCCAGCCTGTTGGGTTCCCCACCCCGCCCCCGACAATAAATCTTTCCTTTAACTCCGGTGTTTGGTGTGTTTTGCAGTGGCCTCACACACAAGGACATAGAGCAGAAAGCGCTGGGGTCCTCTTGCGCCTTCACTCCACCCCCACTTCCCTGCATAGAGCAAGAAGAGGAGCTGCAGGACCTACACAGAGCTGGTGCTGCCTCGTCACTAGATGGCGCTGTGCCCAGAGGCCATGGATGGGGGGAGGCCAGGTCTCAGGCCCCTCTTCCTCTCCCTCCTTCCTGACCACCTCCCCCCCCCCCCCCCCCACCCCCCCGCCGATGGGCTTGTCGCATCCCTCCAGGGGACCCCCAACACTTTCTCCCCCTAGACTGCCATTTCCCAGGTGACCAGCTGGTCTCACGTTATCAGGGACATTCAGGGGTCTGTGTTTCACCAGCCCCCGGTGGTTTAGACACACACTCTGGTTTGGAAGTTGCTCTAGGCCACTCGCTGTGGCCCCATCACCCAAGGGAACGGAAAACATCCAGTGCTGCACGGTGCACCGGCAGTGAGAACCCAGCTACATTTGGAGTTGCCAGCTTTTCCAAGGTCTAAGTTCTCAGCCAGACCTTGATCAGGGTTCTTCAAAAAACACAGATGTTGGCAAGAGATAAGAGGAGTTGGTGCGTGCAGGCAGGGTTCCCTGACCCAGGAAGGTGTGGGTGTCCAGCAGGGCCAACTGGCACATGCCCCATGGTACAGAGTAGAAACCCAGCCAACAGAGAAGATTTCAGTTGGAAGCCAACAGAGAGTGGAAGAGAGGCTGAGAATTAGCTGAGATCGGAGGGTAAACTTGAACAAGCAATGAAGAAGGGCAATGCACATTGCAAGAGACTTTTCTTGCATTTTCCCCTTGCAGCGGGCAGGGGCTGGGGTCTCCTCACCTCCTCAGCCCGTACACATAGCACACGGAGATCGCCTCCACCAGCACTATGAGCAGCAGGGACAGTGTGGCTCCGTAGTCATTGAAGATGTCAAACCAGTAGTTGCCAGACTCCAAGGTGAACACCATGCCGATGGCACAGTTGATGAGGCACACAAGACCTGGGGGTGCAAGACCACCTGCTTACCTGTCTGTGGGGTGGCAGGAGCAGACTCTTCTGGGAATGTTGGCCAGCACATGGGTTGGGAGTCCTGTGTGGCGAGCAACCAGCAGGGAGCGCGGTTCTCATGGGAATGGCGCCAGGCTGTGGGGCGGGGGCTGCTGTTCATCCCAACCCCTCAGCCCCAGGGCTCAGGGGAGCAGACAGGAATGAGGGGATCCTATGAGCCATTTCCTGAGAGCTCTCGCACCAGCCCAGGAGGGGAAGAGGGAGAAACCAGCGTTTACCAAGAGCCTACTCACCGTGTATTCCACCCTTATGCCTCTGCACCCCAGGTTGGGGGAGGGGGACTCAGAGGCGTGGAGCCCCTCGCCCCTTCCCCCACAGCACATGCGGCAGACAGGAATCAAGCCCCTTGGCGTCCACTCCGGGCATCGGTGTCCCCCTGACCCCTGGCTGCCGGCGCTGAGCCCCCATGGAATGTCTGTCCTGGCTCCCACCTGCCCTTTCCCCTGTGGCCCTGAGCCCTCTGCACCCTGAGGGGACCCGGCCTGTGTCATGCTGACGACAGAGACCAGACCCCAGAGGAGAGGGGACGGGCCCTACCCGCGTGGTCAGGGTGAGGGGCTGGAACCAGAGCTGGCAGTGGCAGAGAAGTCTCGTCACGGGGATGGGGCTGGCCACGGCAGCCTGGGTGGATGGAGCTGACAGCAGGAGGGAGCCTGGGAGTGGTCTGTTTGGCAATGGCAACCCCAGTGCCTGGCAGGATGGAGGAAGGAAGAGTGGCAAGTCCCCCATAGCAGTTCTGACACAGGCGGTATGGGGGTGATGGCTCCTGCTCCCGGATCTCACCTAGAGATTGTCAACTGCAGGGTTTATTAACATGGCATTCAAGAACAGCACAGACAAACCTGAAATGTCAGAGGTGACTTCTAGAGGTGCCTATTGTCTGGGGAGGCGTGTAGGAAAGTTTTTCACCTTGACCTAAGAGGCAGTTACTTGGGAGGCTACAAGTCCACAATTAGTTGATGTGTACTTAAGAAACACATACTTTAGCATGGGTATACTTCAGTTAAGACAACGAGAAACCAAAGCAGGCGCTCTCCTAGCCTGGCGATCACCATTATTCTGGGGCGGGACGAGGTCGGAGGGGAGGTGGTCCCTTCCCCATCTCATGCCCTCAAGAAGGAAACCACACCAGGTGCGTCACCTGACCCAGGTCCCAGGTTTCCAGACGCAGACCTTGGCAGGTGAGGGTGCCACAGACCCCAGTGGCTCCGCCTGGACAAGCACAGGTCCCTGCCATGTCCAGTCCTCCCAGACTGACCCCGTCCCTCCCCCGGCTGGTCCGCTGACCTGAGATGGCCTCCCTGGGCAGGAGGCTGGAGATGAACTTGCTGTCGGTGAGAGGGGTGAGGATGGCTGCTGTGTTTCCCAGCATGCTCCCCACGCCCAACATGAGCAGCATGAAGAAGTAGAGCACCGACCACAGCTGCGACACCTCCATGTTCTTGATGGCCTCCGTGTAGACGATGAAAGCCAGGCCTGTGCCCTGGACGGCCTGCGCACAGAGGGAAGACACCGGTTCCATGGCCAGGGATCGAAGATGCACAGTCGCCTCACCCACAGCCTGGGCTATGCAGCCTGGGGGGACCCCAGGTCTGGCGATCAGCAGCTGCCTTTGGAGGGGGAGGCTGCCCTCTGCAGATCAGCCGTCCTGGGCCGAGCAGCCACAGCAGCCACAGGGCAATCCCAGGTGCAGCGTGAGTGGAGACCTGCCATTCAACCCGGAAGTCAGAGGTAAGTTCTGGGTGAAACGTAACACGGGAACGCTCGGAGGACGTCTGCCCCCAGTGTCCTGACTGTCTGGGTGTTCCAGGACCTTTGTGGCTCAGAACAGAGGAGGGATGCTGGTGCCAGAGTGGGCTGACGAAATGCCAAGCATCTGGCCTGGTGGGCAGCAGCGAACCAGCAGGGGCAGGGCAGCTCAGTGGTCAGTTCCCCGTGCAGGTAATGCTGTTGTGGTGACCCTGAGCTGGGCGAGCCAAGCCTGGAACTGCTGCTTCAAGACAGAGGGCCTGAGTGTGTCACAGGAGTCGTGGGTGGGTGATGCTCTCTACGCACCAGCAGGTAGGAGAAACAAAATAAACACTGCTGGGGTAAGCCCCCTACCGTGGATGCACGTGACTGCCAGGTTAAGCAAGGACCTCACAACCAGGGATAAAATCCCACAAGAAACTCAGAGGCAGCACGAATAAGAAATAAGATTCTGACCAGCCCTCCCCAGGGGCACCAGGTATCACAGTCAGATTTAGGATTGCTATGGACCGAGCTGCAACCCGCTCAGATTCCCACATTGGAAACCCTACTCCCCAACGCGACTGTGTCTGAGGTGGTCTCCACTACCTCCAGGAAGGTGAAATGAGATTGTAAAGGCAGGACCCTTTCCTTTCTTCCCTCCTTCCTTCCTTCCTCTTTTTTTTTTTTTTTTATTTGACAGACAGTGAGAGAGAGAGACAGAGAGAAAGGTCTTCCTTCCGTTGGTTCACCCCCCAAAGCCAGGCACAGGGGCTGAAGCACTTGGGCCATCTTCCACTGCCCTCCTGGGCCACAGCTGCTGGACCTTGATCTTGGGCCCGCAGGCCCCGGACCTGTGCTGGGGCATCTCTGTCGTTTCAGCGCCTGTCCATGTTACCTTGTCATGGCGGCCTCAGTGCACTGCTGTAAGAGGATGGGTTGGCACAAGGGCTCACCAACCCATCACTGGGGCAGGGCGGGGGGAGCCAGCCTGAGCTGCAGAAAATAAGGGGGCTCGCGGCCAGTGCTGTGGCATAGCAGGTGAACCATCACCTGCAGTGCCGGCATCCCATATGGGCACAGGTTCGAGTCCCAGCTGCTCCTCTTCCGATCCAGATCCCTGCTATGGCCTGGGAGAGCAGTAGAAGATGGCCCAAGTCCTTGGGCCCCTGCACCCACGTGGGAGACCCGGAGGAAGAGCCTGGCTCCTGGCTTTGGATCAGCCCAGGTCTGCCCATTGCAGCCATCTGGGGAGCGAACCAGCAGATGGAAGACCTTTCTTTCTGTCTCTTCTCTCTCTCTGTCTGTAACTCTGCCTTTCAAATAAATAAATGAATCTTTAAAAAAATGGGGGCCAAATATAGATATTTAACATACAAACAAAAACAGATTATTTCTTATCAAGAGATCTGTAGTGAAAGGAGGTATTTTAAGGGAGACAATCCAACAAAGAAGGCTGGGATGTGGGAAAGAATGGTGAGCAATCATGTCCTGTGAATGGATTTGAAAAACAGAACAGGATACTGACTGATGGAGCCGAGACAAAAAGCCCTGGACCCATGTTGACCTGTCTCCTACACACAGCAAGCAGGTCCCCATTTCTCCGCCCTGCTGACCAGCCCCGCCCTGCCTGGACTGCTGAGCGCACCACTGAGCTCTCCCCACTCCTCCCAAGCTCTTCCCCCAAGCACAGCAGCTCCGCCCCAGAGCCCAGCCTCAGCCCAAACCCCTCGCAGCTCACAGCCGTGACCTCACCAGACCTTTAGAGCTCACCCAAGCTCCCCTTCGCCACGTTGCACTGTGTAAACTGCTGCTCTGAAAGGGAAGGGGCTCCCTCTCTCTCTGCCAGGTGTTCACCTGGGGGTGAGCCCCCACCCAGCTTTATTCTTCTAAATAAACCTGCTCTGGCCTTGGCTTCATACTCTGTCCCCTGTGTGGGGGACCCAGAGGAAGCTCCTGGCTCCTGGCTTCAGATCAGTACAGCCCTCACCACTGCAGCTATTTGGGGAGTGAACCAATGGAGGGAAGATCTCTCCGTCTCTGTCTGTCTCTACCTCTTTTTCTGTAACTCTACCTTTCAAATAAAAAAATATTTAAGAAAATAATAATATGGTCCTATACATCTTATCAAAGACTTGCCAAGATTTTCATTTGGAAAATTCATTGAAGTTTATAGAAGACCACGTTGACATCCAATTAAACACTGCTCACAAAGAATGCTACTTGTAAACAGGAATGGCACTTCATATGTAGGTAGTAAAGCTCTTGCCACACAAAGGGGGCTTTGCCTTCCTCCCTGAAACTTTTTCTTTCACATTAAATAAAACAAAAACAAAAACAAATCTGAGCCCAAAGTGAAAAATGTGACAGAAGTGACAAATGGTCCATATGTGCGTGTTTGTCACATTGTTCTCCATTCTTCCTGTACTTTCTAAACTTAAGAGAAGGGCAGAAGAAGAGACACGGGTCCCACAGGCACCTGACCGGGCAGAGGGCCACCAGGGCTGTCCTCCGAGCGCCCTGGACCTGCTGGTGCCTCCCCCACCGCCCGCCGGCCCCACACAGGCTCCCAGTGCACAGAGGCGAGCCCAGCCACCAGCCGCCGGCTCCTCACCGTGTTCAGCTCCGACTCCAGGCTGCAGTTGTGGATTTGCGGGGCTATGGCACTGTACTCGCTGGGGTAGGTGGACGCCAGGTAGCTCTTCACCTGCTCCAGGTTGTCGGCGGTCACGGAGCCATCCTCAAGGTCGAAGGAGTTGATCAGCAGCAGAATCACCCTGCAGGGCAGAGCGCGACACTGACCAGGGCCCGCCTGAGAGCCCCTTCCTGCAGGGAGACCCGATGACCACGACCCTTGTAGAGGCGGGGGAGATCCTTGGACACTTAGGAGGCGGTGGTGATGGCAAGCAGGAGCTACAGCCGCGCAGCCCGGCTCTTGGAACCTCCGGACCAGTGCAGTCCTCTACAATTGCTGTGACAAGGGCCAGCCTCCTGCTGCCACAGGTTAAGCTGCTGCCTCCTCACTGACATCCCCTATTGCAGCACTGGTTTGAGTCCCGGCTGCTCCTCTTCCTATCCAGCTCCCTGCTGATGCGCCTGGGAAAGCAGCAGAGGATGGCCCAAGTGCTTGGGCCCCTGCACCCACGTGGGAGACTCAGATGGCGTTCCAGGCTCCTGGCTTCAGCCTGGCCCAGCCCTGGCCATTGCAACCATTTGGGGAGAGAACCAGGAGATGGAAGACCTCTGTCACTCATCTCTTAGAGATTTTTAAAATCTTAAAAAACACACACACAAATTTTGGTGACCTTGGAACGTTCTGTCTTGATGTCTGGTGCCCAATAGCCATGTGTGGGGCCTGAACACTTGCCACAGAGGGTCCCAGTTAAATTACTTTAATGTCTTTTGTTTGTTTGTTTGTTTGTTTGTTTGACAGGCAGAGTTAGACAGTGAGAGAGAGAGACATAGAGAAAGGTCTTCCTTTTCCATTGGTTTACCACTATGGCCGGTGTGCTGCGGCCGGCGCGCTGCACGATCCGAAGCCAGGAGCCAAATGCTTCCTCCTGGTCTCCCATGCGGGTGCAGGGCCCAAGCACTTGGGCCATCATCCACTGCATTCCCGGGCCACAGCAGAGAGCTGGACTGGAAGAGGAGCAACCGGGACAGAATCCAGCACTCTGACTAGGACTAGAACCCAGGGTGCTGGTGCTGCAGGCGGAGGATTAGCCTAGTGAGCCACGGTGCCAGCCAAATTACTTTAATTTCAAATGTAGAATTATTTGAATGTAGGTGAGCTTTTTAAATTCAAAATAATTCACCTGGGTTCACATTAGAATTTGAAAAAAGCCTCTTGTGTCCAGTGGATCACGCTCTGGCTCCCGGGAAGGGCCACAGCGGGTTCTGTGAGCTCCAGGCCTCAGCTGGAGATGCCTTGGGAACTCAGTCTTGTTTGTAGAAGGCCCTGTGGTGCTCAGGGCCTTGAACACGTGCGCCTGTCCTTGGCCCTGGATGTGATCATGGACCTGCCCAGGTCATGGACCTGCCCAAGGCCACTTTCTGTGACCCTGGATCAGGGACTCCAGCAGGTGCTCTTGACTTCCTGGCCCCGCCTCCCCACCCAAGGCCCAGGTCAAGTGGAAGGGAGGGTGAAGGGCAGAGGCCTCACTTACTTCTGCAAGCAGCTCTCGTAGTTGAAGGTGGCCTTGAAGCCGTAGATGGAGAAGGTGACGATGCTGGCGAATATGGAAGTGGAGCTGTTGATGAGGGAGACGATGATGGCGTGTTTCTGGCAGTTGTTGGAGGGCTCGTTGTAGCTGGCGAAGGCGATCAGGCTGCCGAACCCCAGCCCCAGGGAGAAGAAGATCTGTGTGGCCGCGTTGATCCAGGTCCTGGGGTTGGCCAGCTGCTCGATCTGCAAAGCCAGCAGGGACAGGGCTGACAGGCCCGGGGTTCACTACGAGTGGGACATGGAGTAGATGGAGGTAGAAGTTGGGTTTGGATGAATCTAGTGTGGACGTCTGGGGGCATTTGCAATGGGAACACACTTTGGGGGATGTTACAGCCATGTTGTTTCCAGGGGTAGAGTTGCTAAGTGAAGAATGTGTCTCTGGGGCTGGTGCTGTAGTGCAGCTGGTAAAGCCGCCACCTGCGGCACCAGCATCCCATTTGGACACCTGTTAGTGTCCCGGCTGCTCCACTTCCAATCCAGCTCCCTGCTAATGGTCTAAGAAAAGCAATGGCAGATGACCTAAGTGTTTGGTCCCCCTTGTGGGAGACCTGGATGAAGCTCCTAGTTCTAGGCTTCCGCCTGGTCAAGCCCTGGCTTTTGTGGCTATCTGGGGAGTGAAGCAGTGGATGGAAGATCTCTCCACAAATGAGCACGCCCACTGGAGAGTGATGGGAGAGGGATCGTAGCAAACCCAGGAGACAAAGGCGAGCATGGACTCGAGTGGGTTGCTGATGGGCCCAGGTTGGTGTGGAAGGGACTTGGGGTTTACTTCACACGGAGGCCAGAAGGGAGCGGGGGGCAGCAGTTAGAGTTCAGGGAGGGTAGGACAGGGTGCTGGGAGGAACACTGAAGACCCCAGAACAGGGCTTGGGACCACCTGGCTGAGACGGGGACCCAGGCCCCTGGGGGACCCCAGCCTTTGCCGCAGCCTAGGGACTCACAGCACCATCCCTGGGTACAGCCTCCAGCTACCCTGCCCCTGCCCCTCTTCCCAGGCACCCCAGGAGGCAGCTGGATGCACCAAGCACACCGCCAAGCCCGCCCCCAGCCGCACCTTGGGAGTGAACATGTACTTCAGGCCGTTGGTGGCTCCGTGGAGCGTGAGGCCCCTGACCAGGTAGATGATGAGCACACAGTAGGGCAGCGACGCAGTGAAGTACACCACCTGCGGGCGTGAGGCGCACAGTCAGCCCCCTGTGGAGGTGGGGACCAGGGCGGCCCCTGGGCATCAACTCCAGTGCTGGCTTCTCGGGCTGCGCCCCAGCTGCCCACAGCCGGACTCGGTGCTGGCGTTCTTGGTTACACACAGGGTCGGATGTGGGGCTGGAGGGACGCGGCTGTCACACCTGTGAGCACCACAAGCAGAGCTCTCGTCCAGCAGAGGGGGCGCAAACAGGTACTGAGGTCTCCGCCCCTCAACCTCCCTTCAACTTGACCTGACTCAAGAAAGGACTGGAGGAAGCCCACAAAAATATACCAGCATGAACATTTTCACCGTCATAAATCACTTTGCAAAAAAAGTACAAGCAATGTAGTAAGGAGTCCAAAGGAAAGATAGCCCACAGGAGGGGTGTGAGTCTCTACCCTGTTTCTGTGCCAGATCCAGTGGTGAGCTTCCTAGTGGCCTGAGCAAAGAAGGAAATGTGATAACATCCACGATTCATGTTGTCTCTTTGGGGAAAAACAAAACAAAACAAAAAAAGGAATAGGGAAGGAGAGGTTTTTCCAGGAATGGGATAGGACAGAAGCTTGGCCAGGAGTGCTCATAGAGGATCCGCAGTGACTTGTGCAGGTGCCCCGCAATGAATACACTGGGAAGATGCAAGATCTGATTTACGTGGCAACCCCCAGGAAATGCGTCACTTCCCAGGGCTGGAAAACTGTACGTAAGGGGAGCCTTCGTCAACCCCCTCTTCTGTCCGTACTGACAAACACCCCAGGTTCAACGACGTCTCTGTATCTTTGGAGCCCAGGGTTCCTCTGGCAGTAGCCTCTCTTATCTATATTAAGTCATTCTAACTTTTACTAAGCCTGGAACGAGAGACCTTCACGTGAGCTTGGGCACACCCAGGAGTGTTTTTTTGTTTTTGTTTTTGTTTTTTTCCTTTTACTACAAATCAACTCCTAAGCAGGTATTTCAAAATGCTCATGGAAATGCAACTAAAAAGAAGGTTAGGGCAAGGGAGCATCTGGCCTTGTCTTGAAGCCACCAGTTGGGATGCCCACATCCCATCCGGGAGTGTGTGAGGTGAGGTCTGGTTTTGCGCCCTGCTCCAGTTTCCTGCTAGTGTACACCCTGGGGGGCAACAGGGAATGGCTGCATTCGCTGAGACCCTGCCACCCACTTGGAAGACCTGGGTTGAGTTTCTGTCTCAGAGCTTCGGACTGTTGCAGCACTGGACACTGTGGATATTTGGGAACCGAACTAGCAGGTGGGAGCTACGTCTCTGTACATCTGAAATAAATAAATAAATAAATAAATAAAAATTTAAAAAGTAGATCATTTTAGTGCACAAAATAAAGTTATCCATGCACATGAAAGATCTTCAAAAAGTTCGTGGAAAATGCCTATTAGGTCAAAACTACACATGGATTTCAAAAATCGGCTTACCAAAGTCATCTTCCTAATCTTATCTTTCACAAGCCTTATGGCATGTAGGGGAAAGACATGATTTGTGATCAAGGTCCAAGTCCTCTTGAGTTACACAGCTGGTGACTCAAGACATGATGTGGCTCCAGCTTCCCGGGGCATCTCCAAGGTGACGACAGTGCCACTCTACCCTCTCACCTTGCGGATGGCCCTGTAGAGGGTGGCTGTGACTTCAGGAGAGAACTAAGTGCACCCAGGATTATCAGACGACAAATCAGATACAAGTGGAGTTGAAGATGGGGAAGGCCAGGGCATCCGGCCAAGGATCTGCAGGAACTGAGGAGGAGTGGGGAGTGGGCCCGGGGCCGAGACATGTGGGGGGCACTGAGGGAAAGCCCCTGGAGTTTCCTCTCTTCCCCTGAGGTGGGCAAGTTCCCCAGGGGCCTCTGGAGTCCTGACAAGGTGGCTCCCCCCACATACGCACACACAACCAAGTGGGCAGGACTCCTGGACACGAGCTTCCCACCTCTGACCCACCCACAACCATTCCCGGAGGAGAAACAGGAGATTCCCCCAGAGAGCCTTTAACACAAATCGTGCCCCATAACTAGAGCTGTGGAGGCACAGAGAGGTAGGTGGCGAGAATAAACAAGCTTTGACAGAGACTGGGCACACCAGCAAGCCATCGGTCTCCAAGCTTCCAGAGGCTGCCCTCAGATCTCTTGGTTCACACTCATAATAACCTGGCCAAAAGAAATTCTAAACACACTGCTTCTGAGCCAGGCAGCATCGGCCACACTCCACCATGGGGCTGAGAGGGTCCTGCGAGGTCTGATCTCTCCCTGTGCTGGTGAGCCCCCTGCTCAGCTGTGGAAAGGGGTCCCGGGAGCTAGGACGCTGGGTTGTGGTGGAGGAGCAGTGGTTTGAGCACTTCCGACAGAGCTAAGAGTTCAACAGTTCGCAGGCACACCCGCAGCTCAACTACTGATCCGAGTGACAGCTGCGGATGACCTGCGGAGCTGAACTGCTGAGCCCAGCTGTTGGCACAGATCCACCCGGCAGAACTGGATGACACACCGCGGTGTCTGAACAAATGAGCTGCCTTCGTTCCCTAGCTCATCTCCCTTGTGTCCTGAGACTCAGCCCATCCCTCCCTCTGGGTCAAACTCACCCCACACTGATCACAAGTCTTGACAAGCAAGCTGTCATTCAGGACCCCCTTGGGACTGAAGCGATCAAACCAGCCACCGTCTCGCAAACCTCACAGCCTCAGATTGCGAGCTCCTACATGGCAACCCTAATAAATGCCCCCAAAACGTAATCCCTCTAGGTCCTCATCCAAGTTGATTTTCTCCTGGTTGAATGCGTCTTGGAAGACAAAATACAATACCCTACACAGCCTGATACTGGGGCTGTCACACGATCCCACCACGCGGCTGTTATTTTGTTCAAGATGCCTCAGGAAAACACGAGTGTACTGCGACGGCTGGTGCCAGCCCTGGGCAGCGTGGCTGATCTCTATGAGGGTGGCCGTGTCTCAGGCAAGGCTCGCTGGGGGAGGGGATTTGTGCCCAGGTTGGAGCAGGGTGGCAGCGACAGAAACCTTCCCTGCAGTCCCTGTCCTCCGCATAGAGCCGGGTCCAGGGATGCATCTGGAAGAACAGGCTCCATAGGGGTCACAGAAGGCACTTGGAGCACAGGGTCCAAGCCCGGTTGCCCATGACAATCATCCGGGAGCCCGCGCACGTGCCCCGCTCGGTGGCTCCCTAGACGCACAATCGCAGCCCCCTGGGGAAGGGCAGAGGGGGCCAGTGTTTGAAGCTTCGCTGGCTAAGATCACGGTGCACACAGCGGAGGGGTGCCCCAGGCCCACGGACAGCTGCTCAGAGTCTTACAGGCGGGAACTCTGGCCTGGTTGCTCAAAGGGTCTGGATTTGGGGCTGGCTGGGATAGAAACGCTCATCTTAGGAAGCGAGAGTCCTGAACACCACATTTAGAGCTGCGACTGGAGCCGCCTCTGGTCATCTGCAGGATCACGGGTCACAGGTGCAATGCTGCTGCTTGCGGCACCGCTGGCGCCTCCTACCCCAGCAAGCTCCGCCCCTCGGCCGCCAGGAGCCAACCAGGGGCACAGGTGTCCGCTTTCAGGCCCGCCCCCGCGAGGATCGCCACGCCCCTGCCCCGCCCCCAAAGCGCCCCGCCCACCTTGCCCGTGGACTCGGTGCCCCGCAGGATGCACAGGTACACCAGCAGCCAGGCCAGGAGCAGGCAGAGCGCCGGCTCCCACTGCACGCCGCCGCTCTCCTGGATGGACGGCGAGATGTTGAGGGTCTTGCGGTACCAGAAGTACTGCGTGGACGACGCCTTCTCGCACTCCTCGTCGTAGCCCGTGCGGTTTGCGTTCAGGGGGCACACGGACCACGGCAGGGGGTCCTGGGGGGCCAAAACAAGCGTGTTAGGGGGAGGCGGGGCTGAGGCCCGGGTCACCGGTCGCTGAGGGGACCCGGAGGACAGGGTTCCCTGTGGTAGAGACGGATCCCAGCCATCATCAAGGGCATGGGAGCGCAAGGCAGGGGCTCCGGGGAGGCGCCTTTCCTTCCTTGCTTAATCCACAGGTCTGCAGAGGACCACGGAGCTCTGTTGTGGGTGAAAAGGACTGGCCATCCAAGGGACAATGGCACCTTCATTTACCATGGGGGCACTCTGACCCTCAGCGTGGGCAACACTGACCCAGAATGGTCAGGACCTGGTGAGCGGACTGGTTTTTTGTTTGTTTTGTTCAAGTCCAACCAGAGAAGGCCAAACACGCCCCCTAACTAATCATACAGCGCAGGCTGCCTCTCATTAGTCCCACTCCTGCTTCCCCAAGCCACACACTCCCCCACCCCCGCAACAGAGCCCCTTCCTTGGGATCAGTGCTGTTGTGCGGTGCCCAACCAACTCAACCATCCATGCAGCCCTGCACAGAGGACAGGAACAGTGCCCAGGCTTCAGAGTAAGAGGTGCTGTCCTCTTGCCCCCTGGAGGACTGGGGAGAGGCAGAGTCTCTGCTGGTGTTCATGGAAACTCAAGGTTGAGCCAGGATCAGAGGCTGTAGCCAAGCTCAGGGAGAGAGCCTTCCAGTCAGGGATGTGTGCGACAGGCAGCCAGAGTGGGGTGTGGACGTAGCACTTCCAAGTGTAGATGCCACATCAAAACTACTGGAGTCATACCAAACACTCCGTGGGGCCCCCAAAGACTCCGGGCTATGCCCAAGCACTCCAGATGCCCACTGATTAGGGTCAGCCCATAATTGGGCTTGAATATCCAACCCTGGGGCAGGACTGAACCTCAAGATGCTGACAAAGCGGGAAAGAGTAAGCTGGCAGCCTGGGCCCCTCCTCCTCTCTTCCCAGCTGGGAAGAAGGGGAGATGGAGGAGGTCGTGGGAAGGCAAGCAGGTGCAGTGGGGAGTGGGGCCCCTGAGAACGAAAAGGCAGGAGCTGAGGATGAGAAATGATGAAGAGTGGAAAGTTCTGGTCTTGGATGCGAAGAGTGGAGGCAGAGTTCTCTCTTCTCTACCATTTCCAGCCCTTGCATACTTTCTGTGGCTATCATCAGGAATGAATTGCTTTAATTATTACTATGTTTTAATTTGAGAGGCAGAGTAACAGAGACACAGAGAGAGCTTCCTTCCACTAGCTCAATACCCAAATGCCTGCAACAGCCAGAGCCGGGAACTGGGAACCCAGAAGATGGCCCAAGTGCTTGGGCCTGGCTACCCAAGTAGGAGACCCAGACATAGGTCCTGGCTTTGGCCTGACCCAGCCTTGGCTGTTGCAGTCATTTGGGGAGTGAACCAGCGGATGAAAGATCTGTGTCTCTCCCAATCTCTCTATTGCTCTAGCTTGTGAATAAATAAATCTTAAAAAAAAAAAAAAAGCAAGCTATTGGTGGGGTCCCCAGAACTATGCACACAAGCATGTACACACTCATGCACCTGCTCAATCTGGGTTACCAACAAGGGCTCCATGGGGCCAGGGCTCAGCGCCCTCTGCTCAGCCTGGGGTGCTAGGCTTGCCTCACCCTTCCCACTGCTCCCCTGAGGCTGTAGCCCTCATGCATCCCCCCTGGCCCTAGCTGGGCAGCCCTGTGCTGCCCCTGTCTCTGGTGCCCATTCTTGCTCTGGCGTGGGCTCTGACTCACCTGGAAGGAGTGGAAGAGGTACCAGAAGGACCAGGCATTGATGACGTTGTAGTACATGGAGAGGAAGAAGGAGACCACCACGCTGGCGACGCCTGCAAGGAGGCACAGGGGTGGCGATCAGGCGTGCAGGGACAAGATGGCCGCAGCCCACCCAGTGTGCCCTCCTGGGACTGCCCTAGGGCCAGGGCCTCCCTTCACCAGGTCTGTATGTGGTCAGTATGACCAGGCAGCTGTCGGTACTCAGTATACTTGTTTCTCTTCCCCTAACCTCACTGCCATCTTCTGAGACATGAGGCTCATGAGGTTATCTTTAAGACCTCAATGCCAGGTGCTGTGCTAAGCACGTCATGTATCTTTGGTGCACACAACAGAATCATTCCCATTTCACAGAGGAGGAAACTGAGGCCCAGAGCATGTCTAAGACCACCAGATAGTAAGTGGCAGAGCCAGGGTTCAAACCTCATAGAGTGAGCCCTTGGTCACTGCCATGTGCTACCCGTGTAGCCTATGTGACAAGGGCTCTCACCTTGACTCATCTGAGGTTGAATAACTGGGGACAAACCCTGACATCTGGTGGCAGGGAGCAGTGGTGTGGGAGGGGTGAGCGCTGTCCGACCTGGTCCAGCCTACATGGAACCCAGGGTGGGACTGGGAGCAGAGGAAGGGACGCCATCAGGGCAACTGTCCCCACCTCCTCTGAGCCCACCCGCTGGGACAGAACTGGCCACGTGGGAGTGTTTACACAACAGGTGTCAGCAAAGGCTACCGACCAGTGCGGTTCCTCCCCCAACGCAGTCCCAGAGCTGACCGCCAAATGGCTACCTGCACTCCCAGGTTGGCACTAACATCCGGTGTCTTTGCTATTTTGCAGCAAATGCTGCCTCTGGGAAGCCCTCTGAGATTATCTGCTCAGGCAGATTCTAAACCTCACACTTCCATGCAAAAATTCAGAGCTGTCACGAACAGCAGGCTGTGTGAGTCCAGAGCTGACCCGTGAGGTCACAGGACACCTGTCTTCTGTAGGTAAGAGCAGGTGGCATCTGGCTGACACCCCGCTGCCCTGCCTGCTTCCCGTGTGGGTCCCTGGGCTTGATGGGTGCAGGGAGGTGGGGAAGAAGACCCTTTCCCTGCCAATCACGTGCGCCACGCTTCTGCTCACAGGAGATGGTCTCCCCCCAGCTGCTCACGGTCAGGAAGAGGCAGTGAGTGTGGGTATCACAGGCCAGCCCAGGGCACACAGCAGTGCTCGCGCCCCTGTGGGCTGCAAACACGCCCCCCGCCCCCAGCCCACGCTGCCCGGCACCCTCCTGGGCTCTCTCTGGAGGGTCCCACGGTGGGAGGGGGCTGGAGAGGGCCCCACGTACCGACGCCGCTGAGGTAGGGGCTGATGGTCCTCCAGGCGCCGATGCTGCCCTGTCGCATGCGCTGCCCCACGGCCAGTTCCAGGTACAGGAGCGGCATCCCCTCCACCAGGAGCATGATGACGTAGGGGACCAGGAAGCTACCTGTGGGCGCCCAGAGCTGAGAGCCAGGCCATCGCCTCTGTGCTGTCCTGTTGCCAGCCCCCGTGCCACGCCCTCTGTCACCCGACTTCCCTCTCCACCGCTCCTCCCACCTCCTCTCCATCCCTCTCCCCTTCCTCCTGCAGTCTTCCCACCTTCCCACCATGTCCCTGCCCCAGCTGCTGGCTCCTTGGCAGTGGCCCTGACACAGGCTAGTGGGATAAGGGGCAGGGCTTCTGATTCTAATGAAACTCGGTCTGCCCAGCTGCAGAGTTCAGGGTGGGCTGCAGAGGGCGCTGTTCTACAGGTGTGAAGGTTCACTAGGAGCTGGGTGCGCTCCCTTGGGTGCTCAGTGTCACTTTTAATGCCTCCACCATCCATGCCCGCGTGTGACCACCCAGTTTTCCTTCCAGCTCCTGCCACCACACAGGGACCCTGGCGTCCCCCTCAGACACCACAGAGCTGTGCACTCGGGCAGGGAACCCCGAATGCACTAACTCAGGTGCTGTCCAGAGTTCTGCCATCCCAGGCAAAGCCGTGAGACCCAGCCTGCTTCCCCCCATCCCTGCTGGGTTAGGCCAAGGGTTGTGGCTGGACAGAGACCCAGCAGAGCTCTTGGAGGGAAAGTCACTGTCACTCAGGGGGAGCTGAGAAAGGTGGGCACCATGCCCTACTCCAAGCTCTGCATCATTCACATACATACACAATCCAGGGAAAATTTCTGTGAAATCATGCCTTTTTTTTTTTTTTTTTTGACAGGCAGAGTGGACAGTGAGAGAGAGAGAGACAGAGAGAAAGGTCTTCCTTTGCCGTTGGTTCACCCTCCAGTGGCCGCCGCGGCCGGCGTGCTGCGGCTGGCGCGTCGCGCTAATCCAAAGCCAGGAGCCAGGTACTTCTCCTGGTCTCCCATGGGGTGCAGGGCCCAAGCACTTGGGCCATCCTCCACTGCACTCCCTGGCCACAGCAGAGAGCTGGCCTGGAAGAGGGGCAACCGGGACAGAATCCGGCACCCTGATCAGGACTAGAACCCGATGTGCTGGCGCTGCAGGCAGAGGATTAGCCTATCCTATTGAGCCGCAGCGCTGGCTGAAATCATGCTTTCAATGAGCAGCACTTCAACAATAGGCCATCCATATATACATAACAGAAGGTTCAATCTGTATCTTACATTTTACACCCAAGAAGCCCCTTATACTGCATCATAGACCTATGTGTACCACCAAGAAACTGGGGAAAATCTTTCTGTAATTGGGTTAGGCAAAGATTTCTTAGCTACACCATCCAAAGCACAGTCTATGGAAGCAGATGGGCAGAAATTGGACGCCACTGCTTCTGCTCTGTGAGGGGCACTGCTCAGAGCTCACTCCCTACACACCGAGAGACACAAAGTCGCACAACGTGAATCTGAGAAGATCTTTGTACCAAGAATACACAAGGATTCTCAACACTCAGTAAGCAAAGAACCCCTTCAAAAATTAAACAAAAATCAGCCCAGAATTTCACCAAGGAACATGCGCCTTATAACCTAAGTTCCTGCTGTAACAGAGTCCCTGAGACTGGATCACTTATAAAAACAGAAAGATCTTGGCTCCGAGTTCTGATGCCTGGGAGTCCAGGAACATAGTGCCGGCTTCTGGTGAGGGGCTTGGTCCTGTGTCATCCCACAAAGGCGGCAGGACGGCTGGAGAGGCCCAGAGGGAGCCAAACGCGCTTCTACAACAAACACACTGCAGGGAGACCAACACGGACGCACCTTCATGGTCCAGCCACCTCTTCCAGGGGCTTCCCTTTTAGCCCTGCTGCACTGGGGATTAGGTTTCCAACACACGAAGCTTTGTGCAACACGTTCTAGACACACAGTGAGCAGAGCATGAAGAGACGCCCAGCAGACTAAGCCACTGTGAAGGTGCAAATTCAAACCACAACGAGATGCCATCCACTAGAAGGCCTAAGATTCAAACACACCCGCACTCACGCCAAGGACAGGAGAGGACGTGGGGAGTCTCACACGTTGCCGGCAGGAATGCAAAGTGGCACGGCTGGATTGGGAAGCAGTCTGGTGGTTCCTTGGAAGATGAGGCACACGTTTGTCATGGGATCCAGCAGGTGGCATTGACACCAGAGAAATGGAAACCTAGGTTCATACAAAAACCTGCCTACAAATATGCATAGAAGCTCCATCCACAGTTGCTCTAAGCTGGGAAAAACCCAATCACCCTCCAATGGGTAAATGAACAAAGAACGTGGTACACCACACAATGGAAAATTATTCAGCCAATCAATGGAACATCTGAAACTCCCGACAACAACATGCATGAATCACAGATGTATTGGGCTAAGTGAATCACACCAGACTCAAAAGGATACACACTGGGTGATCCCACGTGTACGATGCTTCAGAAAAGGCAAAATACAGAAAAAGCAAACAGGTCTCTGGCAGCCAGAGGCAGGGCAGTGGGGAGGGACTTCCTTCCAGGGACATGGCTGTAGTGGTGGCAACACAACCAACCGTATATGTGAGTATTTGTCAAATTCAAAGAATATAGCTTAATAAAACAAAAGCTTGTCTTGTAATCAGTTTGAAAACAAGGCTGCTGGGGTGGGCGTTGGGTGCAGCAGCTAAGTCGCTTCTCCACAGGGTCATAACCCACATCAGAGGGCCTGGGTTCGAGGCCCAGCTCTGCTCTTGCTTCCAGTTTCCTGCACCTTAGGAAGTGGTAGGTGACAGCCTGAGTGACTGGGTCCCTGCCACTCATGTACGAGACCTGGATTGAATTCTGGGCTTCTGGTTTCTGCCTGGTCCATCCCTGGCCTTTTTTTTTTTAAAGATGTATTTATTTATTTATTTGAAAGACTGAGTTACAGAGAGAGGCAGATGCATGGGGGTGTGTGTGTGTGGGGAGAGAGAGAGAGAGAGATCTTCTATTCACTGGTTCACTCCCCAAATGGCAATGACCAGGGCTGGGCCAGGCTAGAGCCAGAAGCCAGGAGCTTCATCCAGGTCTCCCATGTGGCTGCAGGGGCCCAAGGACTCGGGCCATCCTCCACTGCTTTCCCAGGCACATTAGCAGGGAGCAGGATCTGAAGTGGAGCAACCAGGACTCGAACCAGTGCCCCTAGGGGATGCCGACACTGCAAACTGCAGCTTTACCTGCTAAGCCACAGTACCAGCACACTCCTCCACTCCTCCCCTTTTTTGTTAATGTTTATATATTTGAAAGTCACAGTTACAGAGAGAGGGGGAGAGACAGAGAGATCTTCCACGCGCTGGTTCACTCCCCAGATCATTCCAACAATCAGGGCTGGGCCAGAGTTCCCATGTGGGTGGCAGAGGCTGTAACACTCAGACCCTCTTCCACTGCTTTTCTCAGGCAATTAGCAGGGAGCTGGATGAGAAGTGGAGCAGCCTGGACATGCACCAACGCCCATATGGGATGCCAGCATTGTAGGCGGCAGCTTTACCTGCTACGCCACAGCACTGGCTCCCACCTCTGGCAATTGAAGGGATCCCAACCAGCAGATGGGAGACCTGTGTGTGTGTGTGTGTGTGTGTGTGTCTGCTTTTCAAAACAGGTAAAACTTTAAAGAAACCAAGTGTACTAACCCTTTTCCCAGTGTCCACGCTCCTTGGATGTATACATTCTGAGGCTGGCTGGACACAAGGAGTTCTGGGTGTGAGAGAGGCAGATGGGGGCCTGCAATGGGCTTCCGGATAGGGCATCCTTGGTAGACTATGGCAGCCACATGCTTCTTCCCATGCAGAGCTGGAGTCTATTTGCCCACGCTGTCAATCGGCACTGGCCGTCTGTGGTCCAGCGAAACGTGGCCAAAAGGACACCATGTGGTGCCAGAGCCCAGGCCTCAGAGCACCTCGCAGCTTCACCTACGTGCTCTGGAACGTGGCCCTGGGACTCCCAGGTCCCCGCGTCAGCAGACGAGAGGCCCTGCGAGGGGAGAACCAGGGGCCCAGCTACCTCCAGGAATGAGACCACGTGCAAGAAATCAGGGGCCCCATTGGCCAGAGGGAAGCCATCCATTGGTGCTGCTTTAAAGCCATGCGGCTCTTTCTTTTCCTACCTCTCAGTACTTGTTCAGACATTCCCTAAAAAACAAACACCTTCCCTGGGATCTCCGGATGCCGGTGCCATCAGCAACATCAGGAAGCTGGCACGGACACAACACTCGTATTTCACCTGCAGGTGCTGCTGGCCTTCTGCCAACTATCCCCCGTGAGGTCCTTTTCCTGGTCTAGGGTCCAGCTCACAAACCCACGGGGCCTCTCGCTGTCACGTCTCTGTCATGTCCTTTGATCCGGGGTGGCCCCTCGGACTCTTTCCTCACCTCGACACTTTGGGAGAGTACCAGCAGGTGCCTCTGTGGAATGTCCCTGCCGCTGGGAATTGGCAGAGACACTGAAGTAATCCTGCGCCCTTGTCCAGAGGCCAGGGATGCCAACTCGTCCTGCTGGTGAACTTTGCTCACCTGGTTAAGGCAGTGGCTGTCCGTTTCTTCTGCCCTAAGTCACCACTGTCCCCTGGAAATGATTAAGTCCCTGGTGGGAGGTATTTTGAGACTAGAGAAATACTCCAAGGGCACTTCAAAAAGTCTGTGGGAAATGGCATGAAAAGTGTACCTTAGTTCAAAGAAAAAGATGTTGAAATCCATGCATCTCAGGGTCTTCAACAAGCACATGGAAATTGTGGGTCATGAAAAACTCTGCATGGATTTCCAACAGCTTTTTTTTTTTTTTTTTGCAACAGTGGAGGGTGGGAGGTCAGTGGCTTGGGGTGGGAGACAAAAGCCCCTGTTCCCCAGGGCCTCAGAGGCCAAAGCGGGGTGGTGGGGGACATTTGCGGGTTTTATTGGGGAGCAGGGAAATAAGGAAGAGCCAAAGAGGTTTTGTCCTCCCAGCCTGGCTGGGCTCTGTGCCCTGCCTTGTCGTTCCCTCCACTGGGAACACATTTCCTCTTTTCTTAGTTCTCTGCCCAAACCTGACTTCCTCA